AAATATAATAATATAGAATATGTACATGCATACCTATACTTGTCTATGCATGAAAATTGAGTTTTCATTTTTCATTCTTTAGAAATTCAGTTTTTTTCTCTTTGCTTAGAATTTGACGAATTCCTCAAAACGCACACATGCACACACACACACAAAATGTATAGTATGCAGTGTAAATAGTGAAGTACACTAACAGTACGCTACAATATAGTACAGTACACTAAACTTCCTTGGCGTTTTAGAGTAATACACACGAACGCCTACGTGCATCTCAGCTTACATACGCATGCACAAACATACCGACACCCCCCCTACTACTTAACATTATGCCTACAAACAAAAAATAATGGAATTTTGTCATACAAAGAAATTTAGAAATAGTGATTATGCTGTGTAGTGTATGTACGCTTATTTATCGTTAAATGATGAGCATTATTATTATCATTTGGCTAGTGAACCCTTTTAGTTGATATGGTTACTATCTAACTACTCATACGGGTCAATCAGTAGTATATAGTGACGTCTCCTTTTCTATGCTTGCTTTCTTGATTACCACTCACGGTATCAATCAGATCAAGTATTACGATCTGAATCATTCCAGTTTTGAAGGGAACCTTGGGTGTATCATCCCGTGGAACTAAGGGAATCGTAGATCGTGAATTAATTTGCCAATGGTAAATTCGACTAGATCATCCAGGTAGCTGACCAGCTAAAAATCTGATGGTTTTAACTGGCTCAGCTACTTCAGCTGATGAGCTCCTCCCCAAGCGAAGTAAAACTGCTCTCCGGTGTTTAAATTACTTTGATAATCTGGTTAGCCACTGGTTATCACTACTGCTTAACTGATATGAGTAGTATGAACCACTCATTTAAATCATTCAGTAGTAGTATGTGGTTTTTTGCATATATGATTGATTTCTTGATTGCCGCTTATGCTGTCAGGGAATTTCAGTTTCCAAAGGTAACTCCACCTCAAACTGTGTGTGAACTGTAAATCTTGAAGTGATTTTTAAATTGCCAGTTCCACTTAATTTATCACCAGTTCGCTCAAGTTTCTATGGAGACTGAGTTGATTTTCCTTGGGAGCGTCTCCAGGCAACGCCCAAACCTTCCTCACTATTTTTCCAAGCTGAGGATTTTTACCAACAGTATGTGTCTTTGCTGACTTCAATCTGAAGGTTAGATGGCCAGTTAGGAACTCTGGAATCTAACCAATGTCAGCTTATGATGAAATCCTGTAACCGATCAACCAAATCCCTACAAACCAACACTTGAAAAAGTTATCACCTGACAAATTTGCAAGAGAAAAGGTAGATAGATCGAATATACGGAACATACGCCAAGCCCTTGACTGAAACCAGAATGTGCGAACGAGGAGCTGGGAGTCAGCCGATAATATGTAGTAGATTGTGTGAAGAGGAGGGGGTTAGACTCTAAGGGCAGTTGTGGAACCAGTGAAACAGGGCTTCAGATAACAAGATGAAATACAGATTTGCTAGGTGGTCTGAACTGATTTTGCTTTCTGAGCTGAGTTGAATCAAGTACACTGATGACGAGCTCCACTTCAAATGAGTAAGATGAGTAAGTCCAGTGTTTAAATCACTGCAAGCTGGCTAGTAAGCACTACAAAATCATATGAGTACTCTTTAAATCTGTCAATAACTAATAGAGTTAAACACTTTTGTTTAAATTCTTTACTACTATTTAAGGTATAAATCAGGAGAAAGGAAACTTTAGGTGAAACCTCACCTCTTGAAGTATGTAGATTGCGAACTGGAAAGTTGGTTATAACTAGTAATCGGTTTATAATTACGATAAAACCATAGCTAAAACAATATACACGTTTTTAAGTGTTGGTTTGTAGGGATTTGATTGGTTACAGGACTTGCATCATGAGCTGACATCAGTCAGAGAACCACTGGAAAACCAGTTAGGAGTACTGGACAGCCGTTTCGTCCTAGTCTTGGACTCTTCAGTAGTACGCACCCACCGCAGTTCGAACCCACGACCTTCCAGTTACAAGGCAAGCTGGCTCGTATACCATTAGGCCACTGACACTAGGGATCACCCCATGTCTTTAACTGGCAGAAGTTAGAATTCATGGGCTGGCCAGTGGATCGGGTCCCAGTGACTCAATGGTCTACGAGCTCGCTAGCCTTGTGACCAGAAGATCCTGGATTCAAAGCCAGTTGGGGTGAGTGCGTACTGATGAAGAGTCCAAAGCTAGGACGAAATGGCTGTCCAGTATTGCTAACTGGTTTTCCAATGGTTCTCTAATCAGTGTCAGCTCATGATGAAAATCCTGTAATATACACGTTTTATTTAAAAACAACTCTGTACCTATCTCTAAATACATCTAGTGAGAAACATCCACACCAACAGACCCTCTTAAAAGTATTCTATTTCAATTCTACTAGTAAACATGCTACTTACTTACTGACTTAAATATAAAAGATTGAACATTGAGTTATTCAAGGTGTTCAATAACTCGTACTCAAAGAAAACAATTAAAAGAAGTAACCGCCCCCTTCTTTAATTTTTGCTTTAAAAATCAAAAAGAATGTCACTACCAGTCTACGTGTAACATATAATTCTTTAAAAATATTTGAATCTAAATTCAAAAGTGTATCACATTCTTTATGTTTGAAATCATCATCAATTTTCTGAAATTAAGTGAAGCGTGTCACATTTCTTTTTGTCAAATGGTTTAATTCCTACTTGTAAGTAGTATGTACATATATTTATTTGAGTAGTACGTATATGTCACAGTCATTAAACTCATTCTTCTTTTAACTAATGACTCTTATTTGAAACAAGCTTTTAGAATAGAACAAACTTGTCACTGTTGACATAAATGAGCTGTACAGAAATGTTTGCCCATGGGAGTTAATTAGGTTCTGCTATATTGCTTCTACCAACTATATTGTATATGTAAATCACTTCTAACATAGGAAACGGTATAGCCGGTAATATTTTTAAATGTTGTTTTGAATTCTTCATTGTTGGAAAGAGTCTCTTCGCTGAAGTGATGTGGCAACACTACATTATACTTCAATTTATACCCTCAATCTTACAAATACACTAGTGGGAGGTTATGATCAGTGGGGTCTGTCAAGCTGCGGTGTAAGGACAAATACTCACCGATGATTATATTGGCTGGTGCTGAAATCACGAAATAGTAGACATCGGAATTTATAGATGTCTGAATTCCGTCCCTATGGATGAATGGTCAGTGAGCTCGCCTTGTAACCAGAAGTTCGTGTGTTTAATCCCTAACAGTGGGGTTGTGGTTGAGTACTTCTGAGGGGTCCTAACTAGGATGAAACAGTCACTTAGTGCTCCCTAGTTGTCTAATTGATATCAACCTATGATCAAACTTGAAACGAGGATTGGTTTTGTAGGGAATTTTAATTGATTGGTTGGAGGATTTCATCATGAACTGATATCATAGGTTAGTGAACCATTGGAAAACCTGTCAGGGAGTACTGAACAGCTGTTTCCTCCGTCCTAGTTTGGGACTGCCTCTTCAACAGTAGGCACCCACCACAAGGGGTGAAACCCAGGACCTTCTGGTTACAAGGCTAGCGAGCTAGCTCGAAGACCATTAAGCCACTGGGACTCAGCCGATCCAATGACCAGCTCATGAATCTAACTTCTGCCAGTTATTGGTACCAGCTAATGATCAAATCCTCCAACGAATCAAAAGAAATTCCCTACGAAACCAATACTTAAAAATTAATCTGATGCCCACTGGCGACTGGCCCTATTCAAGCAGTTAGCCCGGGTCTCTAGTGAGAAGCCATCACCATTAGAATGCAGCAGGTTGAAGGTGAAGCAGTAACTCATCGAAGGAGGCATTGAGAAGTGGTCACGCTAAGTCATGAATTGGCAGAAGTTAGAATTCATGGGCTGGCCATTGAATCAGGTCCCAGTGGCTGAATGGTCTACAGCTCGCCTTGTAACTAGAAGGTTCTGCGTTCGAATAATGGCGGTGAGAGCGTACTGTGAGGGGTCCCAAACTGAGAAGAAACCGCTGTACAGTACTCCATGGCAGGTTTTCTAATCGTCCTCTAACTGATTTCAGCTTATGATGAAATCCTCCAACCAATCAGTTCAAATTCCCTACAAAACCAATACTTGAAAATAGCATTGCGACAACTCATCATTTTTGTTATTACCCTGTTTCTTAAAAAAGAGATGTATCTAAATGGTATTGTACAGCTGGAGAGGGAGATGAATTCACCGGGAAGATCTTCTTTACTGAACTACCTGTCTGGAAAGGTTTATCCACAATCTAGCTGTCAAAATGTTCGATTCAATTTTCATCTTTCATACTAACCAAATTGATTTTATAGCACTGAAGTTTCAAAATACCTGAGGTTATCAACTTATCAGGTATTTGAGAGCATATGTACCGATAAACAAAATACTTGTTTACTCATGAATTTACACATTCTTGTTCATAAATTGTATTGATATATTTATTTTTTATTCTAAACATTCTAATGACCTAAAACTTGAATGTCAAGTTTATCACTTTGTTCGTAAACATTCAATTTTAAATTTAATCGTAATCCTTGACTTCCGAGTGGGACATTAGGCTTCATTCAATGTAGAGCTTTAAGGTTCCTTTAGAACTGGTCTGATTTTGACGGGGTAGAATTATCAGCCTCACGCCCAACCTTCCCTTTTTATTGGCCTTAGCAAGGTTTTTGGGTGAGTCGGCCAGGAACAAAACGCCAGACCACATGTGGCGTAGTCGACAAGCGGTGGTATTGCCTTTCTTTACAAGATATGATTGCTAACCCCCGATAACTTACCCTCTTTCCTGGACTTGCAGCCATCTAGGTTGACGTTTTTCACTGCATCTACTGGGAATCGAACTCTGGAAATGTTAGATTCACAGTAATACTAATAACAAATTATGTTGTATCATGGCTGTTTCAACCGATTCTCATATCTCTTTTTAACTTTCTTATTTTACTTCTGATCTATTGTAGAATGCATGTGAATCACCGAATTTCGGTTATACACATCAAGGTTTGGAAGATGAAATGGAAAGACAACAAAGAATTGAAGGATCTTCAAATTGGATACGTGAAAGTGTAACTAGTACGGTAGGTTTTGAATTAAATTAAAAGATGTCTTACCACTGACATTAATCTCTCTCTCTCTCTCTCTATAGAATCATGATATTCTCAATCAAATCAGTTACATAACAGTAAGTAGACTGTGTATCTTTTTGTACTTATTGTTAATGAAAATTTGCCTCTTCTAGGAAAGAGTACAAACTAATAAAGACTGTCTACATTATCTTGCCGGGATTACAAGTATGGAGGATATTTACTCGGTAAGTGTTTACTGGCATTTCAATTTATAGGGGATTATTTAATATTCTTTTTAGGATGTGTCTGCATTCAATGCTAAACGGGCATTACGACTTATAATGGAAAATACTGATAATAAATTTTGGAGAAAGGTAAATAAATCGTATTTTTCATTTGAATCGATATATATATATATATATATATATATATATATATATATATGAATTACCTTTCTGTTGAGAAAGAATTAACGGCTTCAGTTTTTACAGATTATTGCTATTGGGTTCCGAGTGGAACATTGGGCCTCAACAGCATATCTACACTTTGTTCCATATCCTGCTGTCCACTTCAGTTGGCTAGACCCACAACTGACCGTAATCTCGCATCTCCTTCTCCATGTCACTCTTGCGACAACACGCTTGTTGCTTTCCATGTGGGTTCCACTCACGCGATGGCCTGCATTGAACGCGATGCTATTCGGCGGTCTCCTGGACGTATGCCTGATCAATTTCCGTTTTCTCCTATATATTTCTTAGCAATCGGCTCTTGCTTTTTGGTCTGTTACCAGCCAGAGTTTCTGCTTTCTAATCCTTTCTGGCCGGCCAGCTGGCCATTTGATTTTCAGTATGGAGCCAGGACGTCGGTGGTATAGTGGTTAAGACGCTTGCCGACCATGCGAATGGTCCGTGGTTCGATCCCCCGCCACCGACGAACTCCTTTACCTTGCTGAGCCAGAAATAATACTGGTAAAGAGGAAAGGTTGGGCATGAGGTGGCTAGTAACCCTATCCTGCAAAACAAACACTGCTACAGAAACTTCAAGCCACCAGCTTGAAGCCCTATGTTCCATTAAGGAACGTGAAGGAAAAAAATGGAGCCGGCGAAGGCAGGCAGCTGTCGATAAATGTGTTACTTTTTGAAAATCGTTTTCGTGACACAGAGTAGAAGTTTCTAACCCATATAGCAGGAATGAATGGCCGACTTAACATTTGTGTTGAATAGTATTCGAATCTTGTTCTTTATGCTGGCTAAGTGCAGAAGACTACTTCAGAATTGGTTTAGGGTTGACGTAGGCATTGAATTGAATTTTTGATTTTCCCGTCGATTGATTGGACCGAAGTGCTCAGTCTCAGGTTGACATGTCGGCTTCTTGTGCAGATGCTTCGACGATGTCTGGGTATTTAATTAGTATACAATTGGTGGATGGTGGCTAGCAGTGGAATCCAGGATGCGCATTTCGTCCTATTTGGGACTCGTCAGCTGGATGTACCTGCATTTCAATAATTAATATGACCCGTTGCACAAGAGGTGGCTCTCGTGGCCCAAGTGGTCTAGTGGATAACGCTTTGGCGTTCGAAACTATGGGTACTGGGTTCGAGCCTCGGTGGGAACATCATCACTCACTGAGAAATGCAGGTACATCCAGTTGACGAGTCCCAAATAGGACGAAATGCGCATCCTGGATTCCACTGCTAGCCACCATCCACTAATTGACGTAGGCATATTTAGCCTATTTGATTCTGACCGACTGGCTCTGACATTTCATCCGTTCCAACTGGCTCTGACATCTTCATCCGTTCCGACTGCCTGTCTTTGAAACCGTGCTTCCTGGTTGGATGATTGAAGGAAGTAACCTCTGTTAAACCTCTTTCGTTGATCGCGATTGGTGCTGGTTGTTGTTTCCTTTGATGATGGTTGATTAGTTTTCATCTTCATCTTCCCTATGTTCACTTGGAGTCCTGTCTTCTGAATGCATATTACTGTATTATCATTATTCCCATGGCTTCTGAGTGGAATGTAGGGCTTTAACAGGACATCTCCTTTTATCCCGTTTTCTCCAGTCCCCCTTATCTAGCCCCAGACAGGACTTTAAGCTATCATCTCCTCCTTACACAATCTGCCCCCCCCATTTCACCGTCAGACCCATGTCCAATTCATCGTTTCCCTTTCGGGTTCCACTAGAACTCCGCCCCGTCATGCAGTGTCACCCAGCGGCCTCCTCAGCCTGTTTCCAATCCATTTTCACTTTCTTCGGTATATCTGTCGAGCAACAGGTTTTTGATTGGTTCGTTCACAGATTTCCTTATGGCTAATCCACTCGATTTGGTCATTTGATCTTCATTTTGTTTCCAAAGAAAGTCCTGAAACTTTCGAGAATGTTGTCTGTGAAACTTTAAGAACTGACTAATTCAACACTGATGTTGTAAATCTGAACTTTTTCTTCTTTATGCTGAGTGAAAAATATTTCGGAAGTGATTTCAGAGTGATTTAAGTCTGTCTTGCCTTCCCTATCCTTATCTCCGGTCTTTATCTGTAGTTGAAGCAATACTTACTAGATAAGACAAAGAAAGTGACTTATTTAAAATTTTCTCCCTTGATGATAGTGATTAATGCCTTTTGTAGTTGTGGCTAGTTTGATTGGTTGTCTTCATCACCTGCCTTCTCTCATTGTTCATTTGAAGTCTTTTCTTGTCTATCTGTCTCTTCTGCCAATCTGTTGGTTTTAGCCTGTACATCTTCGAGTTTTTGTGACATTAGACGCATATCATCTGTGAAATTCAGATATTCTAGAGTCTTCTTGTTAGTGGTTTAGCATATTCCTGACTCCTCACTCCCAACACACAGTCTGACACATAATCCACGCCACCACAGTTGACAATGTAATCCGAATCTCTAAGGCCTCAATAATGCTAAGTACATGGAAGCTTACCGTTTCTGGGGGGGGGCGGGGGGAGGATTCTTCTTCTGACCTAGTAGATGACTTTAAATAAGTTCTTCTTGCATAATGAGTGAACGATATCAACTATATGTCCAATTATAGTACTCTTTATTGATCCACTGTTACTTTTTTGTAGCTAAGCATTGAACGATCTACATATCTCTGTCTCTCCAAGTAAGCAAGTGAATTGGTAGATACACATAGAAGTGACCAAGTACGACAGTTTATTTTTACAGTTGTTCAAGAACACTGGGTGACGAAATCACCATATCCATAAATAGCATCTTCGGCTCTATTTGTTTATCTATAAAGCATGGGAGTTAGACATTCTCAAGTAGTGTCTTCCCCAAAAGAGTGATCTCTTCACCTACTGAGTCATGGCTGCAAATTATTCGGATCCTAGTCACAAGACATATTATCAGGTTCCGTGTGTGATTAATGGCTACCCAACTGTCAAAGTTTGTCAATTGGCCGTTCCACTTAGGCCTTCGATTTACGTATCTGTTCAAAGTCCTACCAGTCTTTTTTTCTTAGTTGAGCATCTAGAAAGGAGATTGTCTCGCGGGTATTTGTCCTCACACCTGACTTTATGGACGTTACTCTGGTCGTTACTTCGCACTAAGAAATTCAGTTAGCTTTATTCCTGCAGTAACTGAACCCTTCTTTCAGTCTAGATCCAGATGGTTTGCTTAGCCTTATTCTTAAAAAATGTGCGGATATCCTGTGCTGTCCTTTCATGGACATATTTAATAAATCTTTTTCCAGAAATGTTGTGCCAGCCATTTTGAAGGACATTAAAACTGTACCTAAACCCAAGTCATCTAATGGAACATGTATTAAATTTAGACCTATTTCTATTACCTCTCCTTTTCTAAAAACTATGGAAAAGTTACTCTTACTTAACCTTGAACCTTCACTTAAAGCCTCTAATAATCCCAAACAATTCGCCTATAAACACAGTAGAAGTACTTTAGATGCAGCTGCAGTCTTGAATCATAATACTGTCTCCAGTTTAGACAAGAGGGTAAATTTGTTCCCCACACCGTCCAAAGAATACACATCTGCCTTCGTTCAGCACCTAGGGATATTTTGTTAAACAAGCTTGCTGAAACTCAAACTGACTGTTGGGTTGTCAACTGGCTGCATTCTTATTTCTCAGGAAGAATGTAGTATACTGTATATCAGGGTAGTTGTCCAGTTCATTGCTTACTGAGGCTGGTGTCCCTCAATGTGCTGTCCTTTCTCCTTTTCTCTTTTCTTTCTTCTTGCATAACTTGCCTCACTCTGATGATGAAATGAACATTGTTAAGTATGCGGACGATCTAACTATTTCATTGTCTGTTAACTATCAGCTAGACTGTACTAAGATGAAGAGCTTTCTATCAGGAGTCAGCAAATGGTCTTCGTCTAATGACCTGAAACTAAATTCCTCCACATGTCAGACTGTTAATTTTAGTTTCCGATGTAAAAGAAAGTCAAATGATAGTGATACAGAAATCAAGTCAGACGTTAAATACCTTGAACTTATTCTATCTTCTTATCACTCCTGGTCTTCCAATGTCTTAGTGATCTCTAAAAAAATATTTATTCTAACGTGTTACATTAGAAAGTTAAGGCATTCAGGCATAACTCAACGGCTCCTCTTCTTGCAGTCTGCCAACTCGTGAGCATCTTACCTATTCTTCTTCAATGTTCACCTTTATTCTTTCCTAGATTGCTTAAAAAGACTATGTGATACTTCGTAAAACTCTGAAGACTATCAGTCACTAGGGTGAGTGGTATTCCATTGGGCCATATCGTTGACATTGTCATTGTGATAGGCACTTGATTTCATGCAAGTTCTATCTCCATCCTGAGACAACCAAGCTTTATTGCTATCGTTCTTCTTATATTTACAAGTGCTGTTTTTGGAATAAAGTAGATTATCATTATTATTATTATTATTGTTACCCTGTACTCAATCATCATCGATATATATCACCATTTAGTAGACTTCAGGATAAATGAGCCACTGGTTTCTCTTCCAGTAGCTAAATGGTCGACAAGCTTACCTTCTTGCTGCCATGGAAATCTGGTGCTGAAGAGTCCCAAGCAAGGACGAAACCACCATATATTACTCCGTAGTTTTCAGTGGTTCTCCAGGTGAAGTCAGTCTGCGATGAAACATGAAAGGATAATTGTCTTTACTCCAACATACACATACTCAACAATTACATTCATGATTAGCGCACATTTAAAAAGTTTTAGTCTTTCATTCAGTCTAACCTACATTTACTTCATATAATCAACCCTATTTTTGTTAATCTAATGTAGAACAAGTAACTGAAATGCATTTTTCTTCATGTGTCTACCTACATGTGACATACTTTTATCTTTCTTCTTTTTTCTTTAAATTCTCTCAATTTGATCACATTTGATTCTCTTTTTCAAAATTCTGATCAGAAAACCCTTCGAATATCAATTTATCTACCATTTATAGTATTCACATGTAACTACACTGATACTGATTCTCTATGAATGCGCTAAATGATTTACACATGTGATAAGGATCAGTTATCATACATTAATTATGTCATCAAGAGGAGAATGTTTCAGTTGACCTTCTTCACCCACACACACTCATCTCCTTCAACCCCAGCACTAGCAATTTTGTTCCAGATTTATCTATTTCTCTCTTATCTTACTATTTATTTGCCATTTATGTGAGATAAAATTGCCAATGTGATTAACTTTAATTATATGATTTAAAAGTGTATACTATACACTAATGAAAAGTGAGAAGGTTACCATTTACGAAACGATATGAAAGACATTCACTATAGGATTTCATCATGAGCTGACATTGGTTAGGGATCCATTGGAAAACCAGTTAGCTGTTTCGTCCTAGTTTGGGACTCTTCATCATTACACACCCACCCCAACTGGCTTCTAACCCAGGGCCTTCTGATTACAAGACTAGCGAGCTAGCTCATAGACCATTAAGCCACTGGGACCCGATCCAATGGCCAGCCCATGAATTCTAACTTCTACCAATTCACGACATAGAGCTACCACTAGCCTACCCTGTTGAGGCAGCTCGTTACCTGGGTTTCTAGTGAGAATTCGTAACCAGTAGGATGCAGCAGGTTGGGTGTGAGAATAAATACTCGCCAGAGACAAAGGTTAGTGGTCGCGCTATGTCGTGAATTGGTAGAAGTTAGAATTCATGGGCTGGCCATTGGATCAGGTCCCAGTGGCTTAATGGTCTATGAGCTAGCTCGCTAGTCTTGTAATCAGAAGGCCCTGGGTTAGAAGCCAGTTGGGGTGGGTGTGTAATGATGAAGAGTCCCAAACTAGGACGAAACAGCTAACTGGTTTTCCAATGGTTGTCTAACCAATGTCAGCTCATGATGAAATCCTGTAACCAATCAATCAAATCTCTACAAGCCAACACCAGGACGTTCACTATAGATTTATACATGGAATAAGGTCTATGACTTTTCTGACCGAATTGCAACTCTGCGCACCTTGATCATCATCAAGCAAAGCATAGAATGGCAGTCAAACTTCTGTCTCCCTCAACTCTATCGACTTCGGAAAGGCCTTCAACAGATGGCGTTGACAAAGAAGTAAATTTGGAAACTACTTCAACACTACGGTGCGCAGTGTCCAAGTCTTCATCAATCTCATTTAACAACTAGCCTGACACACAGATCAGGTGATCCACAACGGGAAACTCACAGAGGCGTTCGAGTAAATAAGACAAGGCTGACTGCGGCTATTAGTCTTAATTGCGATGGATGGATGGATCACGTGTCAGACTATGGATAGTGAGAAGACAAGTGTACGCTGGATAGATAAAAAGACTCTAGAAGATCTAGATTTCGTGTATGGATGATTTATGCTTAGTGTCACACAAAATCGAAGACTTAAAGGAGAAAAGCAACAAATTGGCTGAAGAGGCTGAAAGGGAAGACTGAAGTTTGAGTGAACATAGAGAATCTGTCTTGAGTGAGGATTAGAGAGGTTTTGTGTGCATTTCGGATTGTGAGGGCGATTGTTACTTCCCGGCTGCCCACACCGTGGAAGTTGGTTGCGTGACCGCAGAGTCCAGGGGACAACTGCTTGAGGCCGGTCACACGCGGCCTGTTTCTGTTTGTTCTTTTTTGTTTGGTGTGTCTCAGTAGCAGATTTATCACTCCCGCCCTGTGACACGGCAGCAGGAAGCGCGGTCGTTGTTAATCCGGGCCACGGCCGATCCGGCATGAAATTTTGTGAATTTGTTTGGATCATGGTATTGGATGAGGTAGCTGCTTTTTGTTTAACCGCTATCCAAACAACCTGCCTGGCATGGTAGAACCTCAAGAGACATAAGTCTCAGCCAGTATAGCTTGATTAGGTCATTGCGGTGTTCAAGCCCGACCACCACGTCAAGGTAGCAGCTTTCGGTCGGGGAACATAGAGAATACGAAGGTGATGAAGATAACCAACCACCAATCACCAAACAGCAACAGCAACAACAACCAACACCAATCACCATCAACGGAAGAGATTTAACAGAGGTTACCTCCTTCACTTATTCAGCGAGGAAGTACGGTTTCAACCAGAGGCAGTCGAAACAGCTGATGACATTTTTATTCCCTGTGGAAGCAGATCAAAAGCTGAAGACATGTTGATAGAATTCAACTCATGCCACTGGAATCTCAATTTTACAATGGAACACGAAGAAAATGATACTATTATGTTCCCATACTTTTTTTTAGTGGAAAGGACTGATGGCCTAATCGAAAGTCTTCATGGACAGGACAGTAAATGCATTTTAAGAGCTTTGTTCTAATCCAGCATAAAAGTAACTTAGTCATAACACTGTTCAATAGAACATGGAAAATTTGTTCTGACAGTACTATTGAGCATGAAATAAAATCTCTGAAGGATATTTTATCTAAGAATGGATATCCTGAGAAGTTCATTAATAAATACTCTAAAGAAACTACCCCTTTGCAAAACAATTCAAACAGTTCCAAAGAAACCTGTCTATATCAGTTTGCCATTCGAAGGAGACGATGTACAGGAAGTAGTCAGACGAAGACTAGATAAAGCCATCAAGATAACTTATTATGCTGCAAAACTTGTTATCCTTAACACCACTAAGCGAGTGCTTCAACAATCTGGGAAAGACCAGTCACCAATCCTGGACACTTCATCAAACTGCGTATATCAATTTGAGTGTGGTTTGTGGTAGCAAATACATAGGTCGTACAGAAAGGCGATTGTCTACTCGTGTGATGGAACAATTGCCAGAGTGGTTGTAAACAGCTGAATACAAACTGCCAAAATCTTCAATAACAACACATCTTGTGGACTGTGGACATGATTTCAATGCTGTCAAGTCATTCACTATTGTCACCAGACAAAGAAACAAGAAGATGCTTGCAATGGCAAAGGCTTGTGCAATTCGAATTTATAAACCAGGTCTCTGTGTACAAAAGGAGATGGTCGTCACTGTGAATCTACCATGGTAATACGTTTTACTTATTATTCTACCTCTTATTGTTATTATTATTCTTGATTCATTTAGAACTATCTTATCTTAACTCACCTCAGCATTATTAATATTGTTATTTTAACTATTAATATTAATATTACTCAGGTCGCAATTCTTGATATGTTCTTTTTAATGACTAATTGTTTATCTAAGTGACGTAATTGTAGCGTAATGCATTTTATCTTAATTTTAATCTCTCATATTCCCTATCCCATTATCTATCTGAATGTGACCTGGAAAAACATTCGTACCTGTCTTTCTGCATGACTAATTCATTGTAGTTTATTTATTTATCAGTCTTATATCTCCCAATGTAATTTCAATAGTATATACATATATCCCCGTATGTAGAGCATTCAACTGACGAGTTCTACCGAAACCTGATGAATTCATTAAATCCTGCTTTATTAACCTTTGTTGCATGTTTTAGATGCTTTTATCGGCTAATAGAAAAATTTTCAAGTATTGGTTTTTGTAGGGATTTTGTTTGGTTGTATGGAGGATTTAATCATGAGCTGACATCAGCTAGAGAACCACAGTACTCTCAGGTTTTCTAGTGGTTCTCTAACTGATGTCAGCTCATGATTAAATCCTCAATATGTTAGAAAAATCTCAAAATAAGGAAGCACATCATCACTCAACCAACTTTTATTTGTATAAAATATACAGAATAACAAAATCACTCGCACACTATACAATATTTTCTTGTGCTTGTGTGTAATATTAATAGTGTTCCCAATTATTATTATTATTATTATTGTGTTTTTATTGTAGAAATTATCAGGATCTGTAAATCGTTGTTGGCAAAATCTTGGCAAATATTCAGAATTAGCAACAATCCATCTGAAAAATGCTGCAGATTTCCATCAGGTATAAAAGAAATATTCGAGTAGTTACATGATTTTTAGTAAAACTCATTCTATATATTTTTTTCGTCAGTGTGCTTTTTCTATTTACAGCATTTATTATCTCATTGCCTTGAGTTCTCAGTGGGACATAGACCTTCAACAGTATGTCTTAACTTCTTGCTATTCCTTGAAGTCTTTTTTAACTGGCTGCATGATTGCCCATGAACTCTTATGTTAACTACATACGTTATCATACATGTCCCTGTCTGACCAGGTCCAACGAGCCGTTCCTCAGTCTGGTTACACTAGAACACCTGTCTTCATCATATTTCTTAGGGCAGTTGCTTCTTGGTTAGTTGGTCTGTTACACTGCAGAGTTCCTTGTTGCTTGTCCACTCTGGTTAGCCGCCTCATCTTCAGTATGGTACCAGAGAAGACAGTAGTATTTTGTAAGTCTACAGTAATAGCTATCATGATATGGTTGCCTTGGCAACACTGATAGTAAATAAATAAAACATTTCTCTCAAATTTCACATTTATTTCACATGTATATTCCAAATTGCATATTTTCCGTGGAATCAAACAACGGTTCTGGTTAGTGTATAAGAAAATGAAATTAAAAATAGGTATATGATATATTCGTCTTTCGTATATATTACAAGTGACGTTGACTATACTGATAATATTTGATTCACTCTGACTTATGAGCTCCATTACTGTAGTCAGCCATACATTTTATGTATAGACATGTGTCCAGACATGTGTGAAAGGGTACTTTGAATCCTCTTCGAAAGGTTTAAGAATGAGACCAGCTCTATTTTGGATTTTATGCTTAAATACACCACAGATTGGAAGAAAGGCTACTTATCCAAACTGCCACAGAAAAGGAGTCTTAAGCCAACCCAAGAACTGACGTGGCATTATGATCCTATCCATCCCAAGCAAAATACTAAGCCCCTTCATCATCCTGAGGAGAATCGAACACCCTCTGAATGAAAAAAAATAGACCGGAACAGGTTGGATTCAGGAGAAACGAGTAATGCATCGATCAAATAGCAACACTACGGAGCATTATTCAACAGATCTTGGACTGGCAGTCACTTCTCTACCTCAACTTCATTGACTTTGAAAAGCCATTCGACAGCGTCGATAGAGAGGTAATTTGGAAACTACTTCGCTACTTTGGGGTGCCGCCAACAATCATACATCTCATCCAACAGTTTTATGGCAATGCTGCATGCCAAGTAATTCACATCGGGAAACTCACGGAATCCTTCAAAGTGAAGACGGGAGTAAGAGAAGGCTGGCTTGATGGCTGCCTACTATCTTCAGTGATTTTCCTGATTGCAGAGAGAGAAAACAGAAGTGATGAAAATTTCTGGCCAACAGCGACAGCAATAGCAACAACCACAACAAAAACAGACAACAATCAACATAAATGGGAGTAATCTGAAAGAAGCAACCTCCTTTATCTACCTTCCTACCTAGAAAGTATCGTTTCAACTACAGTCGGAGAGAACTGATGAGAATATCAAAGTGAGGGTCGGGAAAGCAAGGCAAGCTTTTATCACTCTCAGGTCTGTGTGGAGGTCAACAGCACTCAGCATGAAAAATAAGATCCGGATTTTCAACTCCAATCTGAAGTCAGTGCTACTGTCTATACGAATCAGAGACTTGGCCCCACGCTGCGTCACGAAGGCCACTTCGAACAAACTACACACCTTTAGCAATAGCTATCTTCTTTCAATACTACTCAAGATCAGGTGGCCGGCCAGAAAATATCAGAAACAGGGCGAGGTCTCTGGAAGCAAACCAACCAAGAAGGAACCGACTGTGCAACAAATATGCAGGAAGAAATACAGGTGGATTGGCAGCCATACTATGAAAAAAACAAACCGTTGGGTGACATCACACGCCAGGACATTGCTCGAGTGGAACCTGAAGAGGAAGTGGCGAGTTGGTCTTCAGTGACAGGGTGACATGGAGTGGAGGAGGTCATGTGAAGAGGAGATGAAAGCATGTGGGCAGATGTTGAGTCAGGTGAAAATGTTGGCAGAGAACCGCTCAAAATGTAGACGTGCGGCCGAATTCTTATGTTCCTCTAGGAACTAAAGGAAACAATAATAACTTTTAATGTTATTTCTTGCAAAATATTCACTCCCCACCTCCCTGGTGTAGAATTTTGAAGTGAATATTCACGGACAGTATATCGTGTGACGCAACGTCATTCTATGTGAAAGAAGACTTAGCTCTCTAGGACACTTTTCCCCCTCATTCTCTTTCTGAAGTAAACAGCAGTCGCTTAGAAACTAATTTAAGACTTGCATCATTTCATGTTACAACCCAAGGAAGATAAAATGAGGTGTACAGTGCTAGATAGAGATTTAGGTAGCCTGATGGTTTTTAAGCCAGAGTAGAACACGTTCAAGCTCACTTGATAAACATTCCTGGCGAGTTCAACCCTTAAAATGTGCAATCATCAGGCCCTAAGCGTGACTAGAGAATCTTTGACCACCCTCAACCTGGAGTTAGGTTCAATAAAATGCAAGATATAATCTTGTTAATGCTTCTTTAGCATGAAAATTCAACATCCCAATTGCTATTCTAAAGAACCGTTTATTTGTCTCTGGAAAGTGCATAAAGACGGAGTACCACTAAATCAATTTTTTTTCTGCAATGAAGATAGTTCTTGGCATTTCTGTTAATTAACAACATTTTTTTCATTCAAAGTTAACTAGTATGACCAAAGTATATCACAGCCTACCGTATGTAATATACGAATCGTACCAACATTTTGCTAAGCCCAACAGTTCTATAGAAATTCACTCGCAAAGTTAAAGTATCATGGCCAAAGTCAATGTCTTTCAAAAGTTGACCTTCAAGAACCTTCAAGAAATTCTATAAAATGTCATTTCAAGTCAAATCATACTTGCCCTTTTCGACTTGGAGATGATAGATACAGCATTGTACTCATTTACTGTTAGGTAGGGTTATGGCTTTATAGATTGAGATTTAAAGGGTTAGGGTTAAAGTTAGGATTAGGAGTTAGGATCATCGTTGGAGTTAGGAGTAGGTTGGAGAATAGTGTCAGAAATACCGACGAATCTTAAACTATCATAACTCACAGTCACCTGGATGAATGTATATATCGCTTATGTGGTATGATATCTCTAAAGGTCATCTGTGTAGTAACTGGGAGGTATTCTTACAACACATGAGCCACAACAACGCCGTCAATACTATAGCATACCTCAAGTCTTTGTCAACCTCTTTCAACAGATATATATATATATATATGTCAGTTGATACACAATAGAAAACTCAGTGAGGCTTTTGAAGTGCATACACGAGTAAGGCAAAACTGGTCGACTATTATCCCTGATTATATTCTTAATTGTGGTGGTCTGGATTATGCGTCAGACTGTTGGGGGGTGAGGAGTCAGGAATACTCTTGACGACTGACAAGAAGACTCTTGAAGATCTGAATTCCACGTGTGGATGATATGTGTCTAATGTCACACAAACTCGAAGACTTAGAGGCAGGCAAAAACCAACAAACTGGCTGGAAAAGCGACCAGAGAAGACAGCACTGTAGGTGAAGATATAAAAAGACAGTGATGAAAATACCCATAAACTAACAGCAAAAACAACCAGCATTAATCACCATCAACGGGAGAGATATGACAGAGGTCGCCTCCTTCACTTATCTGGCAAGGAACCATCGTTTCAACTATAGGCGGATGGCACAGTTGACGGTGTCAAAGCTAACCGGAATCGGAAGAGCAAGATACGGCTTCATCAATCTGAAACCGGTTTTGGGAATCTGCTTCCTTCACTCAGCATAAAGAACAAGATTCGCATTTTAAACACCAATGTGAAGTTTGTTTTTCTGTGTGGGTGAGAAACTTGAACTGCCTGTCACGAAAAGGATTCCCAACAGGTTGCAGACTCTCATCAACTGCCGCCGTTGCTGGCTCCAAACTGAAAATCAAATGATCAGAAAGAATAGGCAATAAGAAACTATGGGAACAAACCAACACAAGCAACAGCCGATTGCTCAACAAATATGTGGGAGAAAGTGAGGATGCATCAGGCATACATTGAGGAGGCCATTGCATGACATCGCCCTCAACGCTGGCCATCACTCGAGTGGAATCTCAATGGAAAGCGACGAGTAAGTCGTTGGTGTTAGGGTTGTGGTGAGAGCAGGCCGTGAGAAAATATGAGCAAGGCTGATTCAGCAACCAATCACAGCAGACTTAACGTGGCAAAATACGATTCGCAGATAGAGAACTCTATTTGTCGAGGAATCCCGAAACAACTAATCAGAAGCCTGAGTTTGTCTGCTTAACTTCTGATAAACAACCAATCAGAAGACTGTACTCGTCTACTTGCATAAGCTATAATAATGTATATGAAATATATGTAAATACGTGTTGATTTTCGTAATAAAACGATCTGTTGCCTGGCCCTTGTCTTCTGTTGTTACAGGGTGACATTGGAAGAGATGGTGGGTGGAGGAGGATATGAGCGAGTTTTGTCACTTGTGGACTCAGCTGAAGGGGACAACAGAAAACAGAAAAAGTGGAGATGGGTTGTTGAAGCCCTATGTTCCACTAGGAACTCAAGGGAATAATGAAAAAAAAGGCAGTGTGATACCATTTTTGCAATGTCTTTTAGTGCATTTTTCAACGACTATGTGACTTCTTTGCATCTGAATTCTGATTGGTTGCTCAAGGTGACAACAGTTTGACTCTTATAGTTTAACTTTCCCAATCCCGTTATCAAACAAAATTTCACCTAACTTACTAACACAACTTTTCTTCATTTAACTTAATATCCTTTTCGTAAATAACTCAAATCCCATTCCTTTTTTGAAAAAAATTTCCTTTCTAGTTTTATTACGACGCAAGACATCTCGAAGTGAAACTGAATGATAGACATAAGAGATTTCTACACAATCGTAGTCGATTCGCTGAAATGAATCATGAATTCTATACAAATTCATCTAAAGAATTACGAGATTGGCTAAGAGTAAGTGTTGATGTCACTTTTTTTTGTAGTTTTGCCTTTTGTGTTTTCTAAATATTCTAATACTACTATTACTATTACTAATAATATTAATATCTTTATCCCCGTGGACAGTAATTATAAAATGTACAGGATTTTCAGCGGGGAGTTTATTGCATGATATTTCCCCTTCGTACAATATCTTCAAGTAAAATATTAGTTGACAGTATATCCTGTGACACACAGTGATCTCTGAACTGAAGCACAAACCATTCCATTATGACATATGTCTGCTTTATCTCCTTCCTTCAAGAAATCCACGATATCCAGCTGTGAAAGTCAATTGTAAGATATTCAGAAGTACATTTTGTGATCCAAGTACATAACTGGGGAACAGTTTTCGGGATCTCTAAAGAATAACAGCCCGAAACGAAACTACCTAGCGAACGGACAAATGACCCTGACAAGGACAACTTCGACCAATCAGAAGGCTCAAAAAAACGGCGCATAATTGTAATAAATCGTTTATATAAAAGTAATGCAATTTTAAAACAATAGTTACGAAGGACAACTTTCTCGTATATGTTGCAAAAGAAACCTCCCAATTTCTCATAGAAGTCGTGATACTCATGTTAAACCAAATCCTGTAGATAAAGTCATCGAGATAACTGTATATCATTGCATTTCTTGAACCATTCACAGGTCTGATCCGTTTTTTTGAAATGACTGCAAAATCCTTCGATGGAATTAGTGTGAGTTCCATCAAAAGGATTGAGAAAGCCATTTTTATGGTTGACCACTTGATGAATACAGCCCAGATTCGATAACTGACTGCAACTACTCCATTCATCTCCACGAATAGTCGTCCAAGGCAGCACTAAGCGCTGGATAATAGGCAATAATATACCTACACTGCGATTAAGGATCACCTAAATATATCCTTTCTGGAGGCTGATTCACACTCAATCTCCCTCGATTATATTTCCTTTTTGTATCGAAAGTACCTAAGGAATCTGTAAATTAAAAACGAACGACATTCGTTCTCGAACTGATTTTCTGGTTCGGCACTCATTTCACCAACAAATAAACCCATCGATGCACCTGTTGTATCTTTGCATATGAATGACACCTCCACATTAACAATTTTTCGACCTTCCTATCAATCCGTTCTCTAAACAGTAATCAAAACAAGATCTGGAGTGAATTTTCAACGGAAAAGGTGTACAGCAACCATAAATACGTCTGGATAAAACAGAGTCACCTGATTGGTTGCTCAAGGTCATTTGTCCGTTCGCTAGGTAGTTTTGGTTTGGGCTGCTATTCTTTAGAGTTACCCAGTTATCTCATGCATTGGAACACACTGCCACCTACAATCAGGCCTTTTCTCAAGTTTACTAGAGACTTGCGAAACAGAAGCTTGTAAACAATTTAAATACACACCAGAGTAGATAATGCCACTATAGGTCATATTTTAATCGATTAAAACAAAGCGAACGAGCGAAAATATATGCCATGGAGGGATGGAAGTTTGTGGTAGCCAAAGTTTTATGCAGGCCGCCACCACTAATACTACTACTCAAACGGTGGAAGACGAAAGATGTGGTAAAAAAATGTTTATTTGGACAGATAATCGTGTTGTGGTACCTCTGGACGTCAAGTTGTATTTCTTTGTGTTCCTTTCACGTCTTCCATGCATCTCCATGTATCATTCGCCTTTCTCTGGCATCAAATGCATCTCCTTGCTATTTGATTTTTTGATACCGATGCATGTCGCTTTATATACTACTGATAAATCATATCAGTAGCAATCACCATACTACCACCACTCACAAATTCATACCCAAATAACATTTATCAATTATTGTTCACATCCTTGTATTCCGAGTGGAACATACGGTGACAATTTTGAAGCCTTAACGTTTCAGTAATCGTCGTTTTTTTCGTCAAACTTCCCTAGTAAACTCGATGAGATTTAGATGTGTCTGTGCATCGCCTGGGAATTAATCCCCTTACCCCATGTATGTTTGACTAGGATTCTGCCACTGAAAAACTAACTCACTAACCTTTATCATTATTAGTTATCAAAGATAATGAGATGACGATATGTTCTGAGAACACGATTTAAGCAAGCAAATACATACTTTTGGTAAGTTCTCATCAGGAGGCTTTACAACTACATATAATAAAATATCGGCTTTTGTATATAACTTTGAAGGACTTTACAAATGGGACTGCATGTCCAGAATTCACCAGATGTTCTGTTATCGAATTGTGTTCTCCTCTTGCTAACTGTGCGCGTTTTACAAGTAGACGTATGGTACGGTCAATGTGCTCAGCTCTACATCAGCAAGTGAACTTGTATATGCATGTTGAAGTGGTCCAATGTGACAGTTGGTCTTTCACATGCTGGGTGAGTAGTTTCTTGCAGGAGAATGTTATTCGTAGGCTGGTGAAGAAGCATATTTTAATGAGAGACTACGAAAGCTGTCTTCGGGGAGTTTCTGCTTCTGTATCACTTTTAAATTTGAGGTTTAATATTATTATCGTTTTGGGGGGGGGGGGTAACTTGGACCTTTTCAAGTGTTTCCCTTGGTTTTAAATTCTTGTCTATGAATCTGGGGAATCCATTTTCAATATCGGTCATAGATATCTGATACAATGTAAATCAACAGAATGAAATGTAATGTAAGGAGAATACAAGTAGAATGGTAATAATGAACCGTGAAACTAAGATTAAAATAAGCAACTATAAAACAGTATAATATTGCTAATAAAGTTGGCAGTACAAATAAGTATAAAAACAATATTTACAGTTATCCGTTGTCACCAGGATAGATAACTGTTCTAGGTCAGGTTTGAAGGCCGTGGGAGATAGAGGAATTGAAAAAATCTCCTCTTGAACACATATTGGGTTTATAATTACTTATGGCTACCACTTCAACCAAGCTCAGCAACCTAACGCGTAGACACTCAGGAAATTGAGGTGGCACCACATATATAATTGTAGAAGCTGACTTTCCTGTAATCAGTAATCTGCTCCATATCCACAAGGTATGCTCTCACAGAACTCCTGACTGACTGTACAACTTCTATACTTAACCATGTCAGACGATGCTTTAAACGGCGCCGGTGGGCACTCAAATTCGTATCCAACCTGTATAACAGTTAAATGTTTGACAAAATGTTATACTACTTTTATAGTTAAAAGTAGGCTGTAATTGAACAGAAAAGTTCACTTGATCGGTCAACATGTGATAAAAAGATATATGCATATAAAATCTAATCAGTAGTTGAGGCACGGGTTAGGGGGGGCGGTCAACATTAATAAATTTATATTTATGCGGGACGAAAAGGAATTCAAGATGGATTAACCGGGACTGACTGAAGTATACAGCATATTTGAATTTTCAGAGATAAGATTATAAGCAGAGTATCTTTTTACTGCGAAGATAAAAAGAACTAAAATATAGATACTTTACTTTGCTTGACCTCATTCAATAACAGTATAAATTTATTTCATTTTGTTTAATAAAAGAAGCGTTTTAAATGATTCTATTTGGAATTCTTTGAAAATTCAAAGAAAAAATATACAAAAGTATATTCACTGTATAATATTAGCTGGTTGATGTTAGAAATAATAATTAACTAACAAAATAAAGTGCATACGACTAAATAGTTACTCATTGTCAATGAACTCAACTTTTGAGAGTTGTGTTTTATTTTTTTTCTTCATTTGAGCATTTCTTTTTTATCTCTTTCATTTTCTTTTTCTACATATCATTTTTAATTGAAGCCATTAGTTAAGTAATTAAAATAAGCAAAAAATTTATTGTAATGGCATATATACTACTGATTAGTCAGAATAAGTAGTGATCTAAACACTCTCATTTGAGACCAATCTCATCAGTTATGTACCTGATTTCATTCTAAATTCAGTGTGTCGAATTAGTTGAAACCACTTGAATTTTTCCTGGATGGCTTCCAACTATTCATGTTGTAGCTGCAGAAGGCAAGACACGGAAGCCAAGGTATAATTTCAAGTGATCAAACAGCTATTTATATCTATACAATTTGTGGTGGTGTGATACAGACAGTATGTGCCAACGGAATATTATCCTCACATATTCCCTCCGTTCAAGTAGGCAATAACAATTATTATTGTTTCTTTTAGTTCCTACAGGAATATGAGACTTCAACTGCACCTCTCCATCGCGTTCGGTTCTCTGCCAACGTTTTAATCTGGCTCCACGTCTGTCCACAGGGTTTCATTTCCTCTCCGCATGACCTTCTCCATGTCATTCTCATACTGACGACCGACTCGCCGCCGCTTCCCATTCGGATTCCATTTGACCAATGGTCTGGCGTTTGATGGATCGTTTGTCGCTTGATCGTCTTCTCAGAGTATGGCCTCCAATTCACCCTTCCTTTTCTCCCTGCATATTTGTTCTACCGTTGCTAGGTTTGTTCGCTCCTAGAAATCTCTCCCTGTTGCTGATCTTTTCTGGCCATCTGATATAGAGTAGTGTTGAGTGAAGATAGCTATTGATGGTGTGTAGTTTGTTTGAGGTGCTCTGAAGCTATTCCATTTTCGCCGGATAAGGTTACTATCCCCACTCCCAGCCTACCCTCTTTACGTGGCTTAACACAGGCTAAAAGAGATTTACGAGTGGATCGACCAGGGATAGAATCCTGAACCATGTTTGGCGTAGTTGGAGAGTACTCTATCCCTGAACCGCCAACACACCTAATCGTTAGTACACCCAGTATAAAGGGGTTGTCAGTAGTGAGGCTAGCGAACGCTTCCCTCGGAAAACAACACAGACTTTACTGAAACTCCCAAGCATTAAACTTGAATCCCTGTATTTCAATCAGAATGGAAACGAATGCAAGAAGGTTTGCTGATCACCTACTTCAGAGAAGTGATAATTGAATTTACTCTTAAGCAAAAGTCGGTTCAGCATGTGATATAATTAGGGGAGATACAAGTTATTGATCTAAGCTATGTAAATCTCAGACGTAAAACACGACAATTCCATACCTAATAGTTAAGTCAATTTAGGCGGGAAGTTCAATAGTATCTGGTGACTACCCTTTATTAAAAATTGAAACTAATGTAAGTTCAGATCGTAATTAAACATTTTCCTCTTCAAATTTCTATTTTTAATATTCTCTTATATGAAAAGTTTCTCAGCATGGAATAAAAAGATGTTGAACCATATACTACTGATTGCATAATAATAGTAGTTGCGTGCTAACCATATCTAAGTGATGTAAACGCCGGACAGCCCTTCCGCTCGTTTGGGCCAGAGATCATCAAGGATCAAACCGATTTGACTCAGCTCAGAGAACAAAATCAGTTGAAATCACATCTGATTTCTGTGTACCTGCATGGGTCAACTGGTAAGGCACTAAATCAAATCGGCAATTAGAAAATTTATTCGTGATATACAATATACACAGTTCGAGGGAGTGAAATTTCACTTCTACAACTTCCCCATAGAAGCCAAAATTATTCAGATCACAATAGGCGTGATCTATATGACTCTAGGAATCATATAAATAAATTTGAAAACTGAAAATCTGATCCACAAACATTAAGAGTCACGACTCATAACGAGTGCCTAATTTTTTACGTATCAACAAGCAAGTCTATTTTCATGAGTTATTTTGTAGGAATGTGACTCGTTTTAAGTTTGAACACTAGCTGAAATCCCTCAGGGAATTATCGGAAACCCAAGGATTACTGAACAGCTAGACATACACTCACCGACAACATGGGTTGGAGGTGGTTGCACTAAAATAATTGGCCACTGGACCGGGGCCCCAGTGGTAGAATGACTTACGAGCTTTACCCCGAAATTCGGAAGTTCCTGGGTTCGAACCCTGGTGATAACGTGCCGCTGGAGAGTCCCAAACCAAAGTGAGACAGCTGTCCAGTACTTCCTGCTGATCCCGATAATTGATGTCATCTTCCGACCAAACTTGAAATGATTATGAGCAATAGTTTGTGCTCGAAACGTCATCAGTTAATATAACTGTACAACACTGTGTGATTTATCAAAATAAAATCTTATCCATAATGGAGTTATACTCTACCACAGTGCCCAAGTTATATACTTATATCAATAAAACTTGAAGCATGTCTACGTTTGTATAAAACCAAAAAGAATATGAAGGGTGTAGGTTAGTCTCCTGTAAACAGTAATGACTTATCACTTTCTAAGAAATAGTAGGGATAAATATAGCAAAAAGACCATGGATAGACTTCCACTATATATGCGAGCATTAGACCCATTTATGTCTCCTTTTATAAAGGTAAAAGACAGAAGAACTTGGTAACGGTAACTCGATATGCAGATAGTCAATAAGTCTGTCATATACTAGAATCACAATTTACACACATCTTAGATATTGTGCTACTTTTTCTTCTGTATTACGCCTATTTGTCTTTCTTTTCATGTTTTCTGTGTCGTTTCACGAGATCTGTTCATTTTTCCTCTTCACCACTAAATCCATCCCTCTTCTATTCAGTGTTTTTGCAGATGATGTACATATTTTCATCTGAAACTATATACTACTCATTAGTCTTGTCAGTAACCACGACACAATTACATAATTTTCTGGCTGATCGTATGTTGTTGTTTTCTAAGTGTGACGATTTAGCGGCGTAATCTCTATATTTGTTTAAGATGGAATAATCAGCAGGAATCTTAGGAGGGTGGATAGTGAACTCTCTTCAGTTTGTTTTGATGAATTTTGCTTGGCTGGTTTTGTCAACAAGTTCTATAGACACTGTCTGAGTGAATATATAGTCGGAAGATAAATTTTTGTTGACTATCTGTTGATAGATGACATATTGGATGGCGTCAGTTCACCTGTTTTGACTACATAGACGCTACTTTTAAATACTTAGAAGGCATAATTTCGTGAACAAGATATTTTTCGAACATGAGCAAGGAGTTGTCGTACTAAAAGTTTTGTGATCTTTCTAACGAAACGGTACCAGTTATTTGCCTACAGATTTGGATTGTATGACATGAAAAAAAGATGAGTAGCAGAAACCCTCATGATTCAAGAACGTAAGACTCAGAATACAGTTTATTTTGAAATTATGTTCACAACCCGGTGATATTTTGTCAAAATATAAGGAAGTCGAGAAGTTGTGACCTCTGATGATGCATCAACCTGTAATTGCACTGGATGGCCATTTGTACTGATGCCGATAAAATTTCGGCAGCCAGATGTGTCAGTATATGAAATGGCTGCGAGACTTAGAGATCTACCTACTGATTTGGCATTGGATCTTTGACGATAACTTGGGGGATGATCCCCAGTGAATGTCGTTGTATTTGTCACTGGCAAAATACCCTCTTTACGTCCAACAACATTGCAGTCTTGGCATCGATTCTGTTTCTACGCATAAGAACTGACGAAATGCCAAGCACCACAATGCCAGTAGGATGATGGAGCTTCCTTCGTTGTCCATCGGGTGAGTAACTGGGATGGTGAACACTCGAAGCAGGATGAGGAGAAGTTTGTTCAGGATTTAATGAGAATCCGGAGAATACATCTACCATAAATTAGAATCATAATTTCCATATATCTTTGGTATTATACTACTTTTGTGGTGAGAACTGTCTGCAAGCCGAAACTGTAGACAACAGTATACGTCACTGTTTACGTCCCGAATCGGAGCCATGAGAAAAGAACAATAACAAAGCTTAATCTTGAGGAACTCACCAAACAATCGCAGCAGACTTAACGGGTGCAAATACGATTCGCGGATGTGGCTTAACTTTCTGAGGAACGGTCACAAGCAGTACAGAATAACCTTGAGCAAGAAAATAACCAGTCAGAAGACGTTGCTTTTCCTCTAATAATAATATACATAAAAATCTATAATTATTTATGGATTTTTTCAATGAACGATCTGTTGCCTACCCCTTGTCTTCTGTCATTACACTTTCACCTTCCTATCATCGTTTCTATGTTGTTTCACAGGAATCGTTTAGCATTAAATCCACCTCTTTACGTTATTCGATATTCTCGCAGATTATTTTACATATTTATATCTGAATCTATATACTACTTATTAATCTTGTCAGTAGCACAAGCCACACTTTTACGATATTCAGCTATGCATACATTTATCTATTGTTTTTTTTTCTAAAACTTTTTATAGAGTCAATTTGATCATTTAAATTATATGGTGAATCGTTCTAAACAATTGATTGAACAATCAAAATCACTTGTACCAATATACTTACGTACAAATCGTATCAAATCACCAGTTAATGCTATCATGTTGTGCGATTATGAAACACCGAAATTTAAATTTACCGCTGGTGAAAGAATCATATTAATTGATAATATGGCTGGTGGAATAGACGGGAAAAAGAAATTTATTTTAAGAACAACAACAGCACAAAAAGATGATGAATTCACTGTGTCAGGTGAATCAACCAACATAACATCAGATGCGATCGATACAGCTACTGAAACAGACATTGAAAGTGGATCAAGAACAGAAGAAATTGATGATCGTTCAAGTGATAGTAATAATACTTATAATTATTTACGTTATACATCCCCAAGAATATCAACAATGCCCTATTGGAATTTTGGTCATGGACAACATATTGGTAGTACTGAAGAGTCAAGTACAGAACAGACAACTACAACATATACTGAAAATGTTAGTCCACTTGGACAATCATCATCAAAACTTCAATGGCATATAAGAAGTTTAGATGGAAAAACTGAAGCACTAGTACCATCTGTATGCGTATGGATTCCATCACCAGATATGGAAGCTCAAGAAAAGGCGATAAAGTAAGCAATACTATTTATTTAATTATTTATTTATTTGGAGCTTTTACAGCAGTATAAGTTGACCCTGGTGGCACCTGAATATTATTCGAAAGTAATAATTTATTGAAATTTGAAAATAGATACGAAAAAGTTATTTAAATAGAGTGGTAGAAATTCTTAAAATATATCAAAATATAGTTAGAACTAAAGTAGAGTATTTGTGTATATAAAATCTATGCTAAGGTTTCCTAAAACGAAAACTTAACTGGCACTTAAGCAATCCATCTCCCAAAAGTGGACTATAGTTATTCAATAAAGGGATTTCTTTTCAGTACTTCATAGTAAGTTTATCAATCTACCATGCATCGCATAGATAATCATAAGGTTATATTGACTATAGTCTCAATAGAGAGGTCAAAAAAACCTTATTTGGTTGGATTGGAGGATTTCATCATGAACTGACATTATTGAAAGAACCATTGGAAAACCACCTGAGAGTACTGGACAGCTGTTTCGTCCTAGTTTGGGACTCTTCACAGCATGCATCCACCAGGGTTCAAATCCACGACCTTCTGGTTACAAGGCGACCTAGCTCGTAGACCACTGGGACCCACCCGATCCAATGACCAGCCCGCAAATTCTAACTTCTGCCAATTCATGACAGGGCACGACTACTTTGTAATGTCTTCTTCAATCTGCTGTACCCTACTAGTTACGACTTTCCACTATAACCTTAGGTAACTGCCTGAATAGGGCCAGTTGCTAGTGGCAGTTTAAAGTTGGGTGTATCCTAATCGCAACCACTCAAGTTATCCGTGTTGGATTCCCAGCCGACGCAGCCTTGAACTTCGTCTCTCCGGTAGAAAGCCTGATAAAGACAGAAGGTTAAGCGTGAACCTACCACCTTCACCCTGTAAAGAACATCACCATTATCGAAACTTCAAACCTTAAGCCTGAGACCCAATGTTCCAACAGAAACTCAAAGAAGGCAAAGAATTATGATTAAAGCTTTGAAAAACATCTCCAATCGTCAATTTGCGTTTTCCTGAGTTACGATCAAACAAGCTTTTTTCACGTAACTCATTAGAGAATTATTCAAATTAGAAGAGCCAATGTTTATACAGTGTGATGGTAATTAATGGAAGTTAGGACGAAAATCTGGGGAAAGCTGAAATTTAAATCAAAAGCCCCTGGATTTTAATAATAATAACAACCACTTTATTCCAAACAGTTATGATTATTCAGAATGGAATTTTCAGCGTTTTTGTACATATTACAACAATTCAACTCCTTTTATAAATATATATAAATACATAAAATTGAAAAATCGTAGTAAAACCACAAAAACTGATTATTGGAGAATTTTATCATGAGCTGACATCAGTTAGAGAACCATTGGAACACGTGTAGGGTGTACTGGATGACTGTTTCGTCAGTCTAGTTTGGGACTCTTCACCGGTACGCACCCACAATACAGGGTTCGAACACAGGACCTTCAGGTTAAAAGGCGATCTTAGCCACAATAAAGTTTGGTTGGGTCATGGGAGAATAATTTTCTTTGATTGGTTGGCAATCGATCCAAGGTTAAACAAAAATACGAGAGGTCATTCAATGAAATTATTTCGAGACCAAAAGGTAAACTAAATGCAGATTTGACGAATAAATACACTTCTACCCTGCAAATAGTGACTTAAAATGTTGGTTTCAGTTTTGACCGCTTCCTATCCGACTGCCTCCAAGTCACAATTGAATATCACAGATTTTTAAATCACACTTAAATACTGAAGCTTTGAATTATCCTGTTCACTACACCGATTAAATGATAATCAACACACAGTTTACAAGGTGTAGTGACCAAAAAAATATATAATAAGAACGAAATCTTTGATTAAACAATAGCTGGTAGCTTGTGTGATGTGTCTAGTCCTCTCTTTGGTGCAGACTGAATTCTGTCAGTCAGGTTTGCAATATGGCCACCATTCTAGGTAGCTTGGCATCACGATGCACATTGATTTGATGACATTAAATGGTTGGAGGCAATTGGCAGGATGGTGAGCTACCTAGAATGGTGGCCACATTCCAAACCTAACTAACAGAATTCAGTCTGCATCAAAGAAAGGACTAGCCGCATCACACTAGTTACTAGTATCAAATCAAAAATATCCAATGCAGTCCTACGGGAGGTTAATCGCGAGCCCGAATAGCTCAGTGGTAACGTCTTTAACTGCAGTATTCACTGGGTGACGTGGGTCCGAATCTCAGAAGGGACATGAGTCCCTTCAAGGTTGCAGATTCGCTTTGCTGACTGGCTGGTGAGTGCCAACTAGCAAGAAACCTAGGTGTAGGTCGAAGGCTTCCTGTGGCCGATTGCCTCCAACCATCTAATAATAACAAAACATTTAGGATTAAACAGTTTTTACCATCTCTTATAACGAATAAATCATTGTTTCTACTTGTAATTTTTTCAGAAATGTAGTCACTATCCTCTCACTCTTTCTATCCTTGTTATAGGTTATACAAAGTTATTCTAGACAACTGGAATTACATCATAGATGAGCAGTTGAAAATATGCCTTGAATTTTTCACTGTACTACTCCAACGATTCCTTGAAAGTGATGTAAGTGTGCTATATACTTTCGTTGTGGGTGTGTGTACATGTGTTTACATTTTTAGTATTCTATATTACTTGGAAATGTAACTGATTAAAAATGCTCATTGAAATTTTTGTCAAAAGAATAGTTACTGAAGAAAGAATATTCCCTTCGATAACCTCTCCTTCATCAACAGGTTCTACGGTTATATGCATCCATAATAGTGAATCAATTAGTGTTATTAACAACATTATTGTTGTTTAAACAACATCGATTCAATAATAATAACATTAATTGTTATGTTGCTGCTACTGAATGGTTAATAGTAGTTTTCCCCGTCGCCAAATTGTTATGTACTCGTCGCCAAATAATTGCTATGTACTGGTCGAGAAATTAATAGTCCTGACGCAAGAAGGCGGAAATCAGAAGACCACTAGGCTTGCGATGATACTTCTATTTTCCAAACACAAGGAGAAGCAAAAGTGGTATCACACCAAATTAAGTGTAAGTGTAAGTCACACAAATTGTGTGAGCGAAATATATATAAATAATTCAGACAAAGGTGTGAACAACCATTAGACAGTCTTAACATGAATGGCTAATTATATTGAAGTATCGACCCATATATACATAGCGAAATATAGCAGACATGTCAACAACCACCATATGTGGATATATGTCACCAAGCAACGGACTGTCAACAAACACTCAAATTATATATAATATAATATAAGGAGAATATACATTGTTAAAGGAGACAAGTTCATACTAGTGAAATGGTCACAGACTAAGCGAGCAAACAGAAAGAGAGACCAACATACACACACACACATAAATATATATATGTGGATACATATCATTAATGAATTACAGTTCTAAGGCATCAACATAAAACTACACACTGAATATCAGACAAACAAATTAGGAAAGATAATATTTCGAATTCATGAATTTACAGTTTCCACTGAAGGTCGACCGGGGCAGTAGTAATGGCTGGCTGGATTTGCTTATTCTGCACACACACAGTACTGGTCGTTTCATGCGAATCACGATAGCCTCTGGTGTTTGGAGTATGTAGTACCTGGATGTTTTCGGCAATTTATTTGGCAGCCAATAGATAACAGAGCAGGATTCTCCATTGCTGGCTAGCTTTCTGCCTGGTTTGGACCAACTGGTCTAATATTGCGCTATCGATGCTTCTCACTAAACCTTTATTTAATCATACCACACTGGTAGATGTTGCCGACAAAGCACAAAAAAATCAAGTTCCTGGAGCAATGGCAAATACAACTCGTTCCTCGATGAGCTCATTTGAATTGATAGATACAATTAGAAGTGGCTAATCTGGGTACTTCATCTTGTGATTGAGGAATCACCACCGGTCGTGTAAAATGTCTGTCTTGTAATTTGCCGGCATTAAAAGTTCTTGGTTTATTGCTTCTTCTTTACTTATTAGAATATTCAAACCTAACTTACATAATCTAGGCGTCAGATTTCGAAATCTTAAACAGTTCATTTTGTTAAGAGTATTTCAAACGATATCAGTGTTATTTAAGTGGATAGCTATATTGTGGTAATCAAAAATTTTCTACAGAATCACCACTAGCTGGATATCATTAAAGACCAGAGAACATTGGATAACTATTTCTCCCTAGTTTGGGACAATTAAACAATGAGCACCCATGGCACTACTAAGGATCGTGACCAAGAACTTCAGGTTATGAAAACAAACTCGCTGACCATTCAGCCACTGTGGGATTCATAGACCCGTGAACTCCAAGTTTATCAGTTTATCGTGTATGGGTACCATCAATCAATACCTAGACATTTTGGACCCCAATAGCCATGAATTCTTGGCGCAGACTCAGTAGTCGTCGATTAGCTGAAGATTAATATTAAGAATTATGGGATTATGTAAAAATTTGGATTGATTTCAGTGTAGGACAGATTCAACGAGCTTGGTCTTTCACCTTGAGGATTCTGGGTTTGATTACCGGCAGAGTTGTGGGTACGCATTCTGCTAAAGAGTTTTAAACTAGTGCTAAACTACTACTCAGTGTCCTCTGGTTTTTCAATTGTCTCTAATTCAAAATGCTTCTTGACGAAGTCTACTTTGAAATCAATAAATTCTTGCGAATCATTTATGCTACTGATATTATTCCTAGTAGTAAGCTACATTTGCTTGGAAATTAACTAAAAACATAATCATGATAATTATAAATCAAAATTTGTTGATAATCTACTATAAAAGGAATACCATTGGGAAAGGTTTCTTTTGTGTGAACATATTCTATAGTTTGTATCCAAGATTCTTTAACAAAACACATCTTTATTAAAGTATTCTTCAATATTCTTCAAATTGTAATGGCTGTTTAACTGATGATAAATTCACACAAAACCTTAGAAATGATTGAATCACAGAGAAATTCAAGTTAAATCAATAAGTTATGCTGAAGAGGCAGAGTTTAAAACTTCTTCAAACGAACTTCATGCTTGTCAATATTCATCACCTATGAATATCTACAAACTAAAATGTCAGCTTGAAGAATGAGAGACCATTATATATATCCAAGCCAAGTTCACTTTTAACGGTTTGAAAAAATTCGGGATTTGGGTATATGATATTCATTATAATAGAGGTTTTTTGTATTTCCCAATGAATGAAAAAAAAATCTCGTTTTGTTTTTTCATTCATTGGGAAATACAAAAAACCTCTATTATAATGAATGAGAGACCATGTAGTGTGAGCACATACCATTCGTTGGATTACAGAACCTGCTGTTACTACAGAGCCAGCGTGAACGCTAAGCATGAACTGACATGTGAATTTCATCCTGATCTCGTTGGGTTAATAAAACATTAGGATTAAGGTTAAGATAAAGCTAAGGGTAAAGTTTAAGGTACGTATGAGGGTGTGGTTAATAAAAGGATTAGGTTAAAGGTTAAGGTATTGACTAGGGTTAGGGTGTTATGTTAATTTTTCCCCTAAATAGACAGCCTTCTGATGTAGAATACACAGCAGGTCTTGTAATTTAACGAATGATATGAGTTAATGGTTTTTGTTGCATTCACATTCAGAGGTCACTAGCATTTAACTAAGTCGTGGTCCAGTGAAGAGTCTCTTTTCAGAGGCGAATTCATTCAACTAGCTGCGCAATGATTATAATTGTTTTTCTATGTGTGTGTGTACATTAGGTTTGTCAGACAAGAATGAATTTTGGTTTGGGGATATTGTTCACGTCATCAAAACATTTCAAAGAATGTGATGAGTAATCAAATTGTAACAAGGAGTCTGTGTGTGGGGGGGGAGAGGTAAAGATTAGTAAGTGTTGCAGTGATGAGTTGTTGTTGCATAAAAGAAGTTGAGAGCGTGTATTATAGTTACGTAATAAGACGTACAATTTAATGAATGAGTTGTAATCAAGATTCATATAACAACGAAGGTAGATAGATAATAGACGCGTATCTTGTCTAAAAGGGTTCAAAAACACTAGCCTGAATGATAGCAAATAGGTGATAGTTGCTCTGTTAGGAGTGTGATAATCGAAAGCCTTGTCAGCACTCGCCATTCCATCTCAACAAACGTCTCCTTCAAAGTAAACTACAAAGCAAAAAAAACCAACCACAGGCAATACCCTTTCGTTTCGTTTGCATCGCTGAAGCTTTATCAGTTCATATTCATGTATTGGGTTTTAGGGATCTGATAGATTGGGTACAGGATTTCATTTGGCACTAAAAGCTGTTAGTAGGGCAAGTGGGATATCGTTAAACCAACTGGTGAACACTATTGTAGATAGACATATTATATCATGTAAGAAACTAGCGAATACAATATTGTCGGACCCCGAGCATCCTCTCTATACGCATCTATCTCCTTGCATTTCATCTGGAAGAACTAGAAGCAGCTATAGGAGGCTATATGCTAGGACTACCAAATACAAAAACTCCACAATACCATATCTGGCACAGCTGTTATGTGATGAGAAATCCGTTAAGTATGACACGATAAACTTACTGCAGCACTATAACAAATAGTTTGTTTTCCTTTCCTCGTTACTACTACGATGTTGTTCTCATCTACTACCACACATCAACTTTATATTTCAAATCCTGTGGTGCATTGTTTGAAATGAAATACTCTACGCTGTTTCTTCTTAATTTTTAATATTTATTTATTTTATTTATTTATAACTTATTTATTTTTATTTTTATTTATTTTTGATTTTTAAAAATCTTATATAATTTATGAGGTAATTAGATGCAATATACTGTAATGCACGCTGAAAATTCCATACCTGTACCACAAATACTGTTTGGAATAAAGCTGTTATTATTATTATGAGCTGAAATTAGTGAGAGGACCACTGGAAAACCAACTGGGAGTACTGGACAGCTGTTTCATCTCCCTTCTTTGGGACTCTTTAGTAGTAAGCACACACTACAGAGTTGGAGCCCAGAACCTCCTGGTTACAAGGCAAGTTAGCTCGTAGGCCTTTAAGCCACTGAGACCCGGTCCAACAGCTAGCCCATGAATTCCAACTTCTGCCAATTCATGACAGAGGGTAACCACTAGCCAGATGTTTGTCCTCACACCCGACCCGCTGTACCCTACTGGTCACGACTTCCTACTAGAATCCCGGGCATCTACTTACCTGATCGCTAGTGAGCATCTCATTGCGGGTGCAGCCGGTCGGGTGTGAGGATAAATACTCGCCGAAGTCATGGATTGGCAGAAGTTGGGATTCATGGGACAGCCATTGTATCGGGTCCCAGTGGATTAAAGGTCTACGAGCTAACTCGCCTTGTAACCGGAAGGTCTTGGGTCCAAACCCCTGTTGTGGGTGCGTACTGCTGAAAAGTCCCCAGATAGGACGGAGAAAACAGCTGCCCAGTACTCCAGTGCTGGATTTCCGATGGTTCTCTAACTGATGTCAGCTCATGATACAATCCTGTGACCAAAAGATCAGACAGACAATACACATAGATGGAGAGTATCATATCTTGAGGATTTAACTGTAGACTTCCGTATATGATCTCAATCACCATTTATGACTGCATGATATGATATTGACTATATAGTAATTATAATGTTCCAAGTGGAACATAGCGCTTTAACAGAATATATATCCACTTCAGTCTATCCACTGCAGTCTTTCTTTTTCCCGCTCCACGACTTAGCATAAGCCTTCATTTCTTCCCCACACGATCTCCTTCATATCACCTTTAGAGTCACCCTTAACTCGTTAGTTTCCACTCGGGTTCCACCCAAGAGCTTCACGCGTAATTTCATCCAACAATCCCGTCAGATTATGCCCCATCCGCTTGCGTTTCCCTGTACATGCTTCTAAGATTATAGGTTCTTGGTTGGTTCGTTGACATGGATCCTTGTTGCTTAAACTTCTCAGTCGACCATTTGATCTTCAGCATCGAGACAGAGAAGAGCACAACTGTTAATTAAAACTTGAAGTAGCCTCCTGAAGATGCTCCTAGTGATACACGTTGCATCAATTCCCTGGAACTTACAAAAGCAATAAACTTTATATTACTATTTGAAAGTTAGTCATAAAATTTTTAGCCTTTGCTAAATTAACATTCTTCATTGTTGTTTTTTTCTTTCGCCTTTAGGGTTTAACAACAGACGATGATGAAGCATTTAAACGATTTTTAAACAATTTAGTATTCTCTTTAACTGAACCGCCAACAGCTGAAGCTGAAAATTTTAACAAGGAATTTCTACGACTTATCGATGAAACACGTGAACACTGGAATAGAACGAAAACATGTAAGTGATTGGTTAATAATTTATGCTCTGAAAGATAATTTCAAAATTCGTTAACAATGTATTTTCTTAATGAAAACATATTAAGTGATTCTAGGAAGTATGGTTTCAACCACAAGCGTACTGAATAGATAAAGGTACCAAAGCCAGATTGAGTTGGAAAGGCGAGGTACGCCTTCATCAACCTGAAACCAGTTTGGAAATCTTCTGCTCTCCCCCCCCCAGTCAGCATAAAGAACGAGATTCGGTTTCTGTTCAACATAAATGTGAAGTCGGCCACTCAGTTCTTCTATACGGGTCAGAAACTTACACTGCCTGTCACGAAAAGTATTCTCAAGAAGCTGTGGACTTTTTGTCAATAGCTGATATTTGCTCTTTTTGCTATTTGCTATTCCCTCTTTCAACAGAGGAAAAGAGCCTTTGTTTTTACGCCTCCAATTCAAGGGAGATACTCCTGCGGAGATTCTATCCCAGCATTTAACCAAGGCGATCAAGAAAACTTTCTACTCTGCACGTCTGTATCTATCCTTCAGTAGCTGTTCATCCAATGTTCATCCAGCAACTCAAAGATGTCTTACCTAACCTTAGCTCTTCTTCATGCATATACCATTTCAACTGTTCCTTTGGTTCAAGTTATATAAGGCACACGATTAGGCAGGTTCGTCTACGGGTTTGAGAACACTTACCAGCTTGGTTCAGTAGGGCGGGGGAATTAAGTGCATAAAAGACTCGATCCTGTCACACTTGGTCGATACTGGACATCGCATCGATGTCAACACAACTTTCAGGGTTATATACCGAATTCCGAAGTCGTTATCACGTACAGTTCGCTTACGTCTCCTACACATAGCTGAAGTGGTTGCAATAAGATCGACTAAACCGGAACTTTGTATCCAAAAAGAACACGTCCAGACGCTGTTCCTACCGTGACCAAACTTGGATTGAAGATTTTTCTTCTTACCAAGAGTGCTCCTTCCCCTTAACCCTCTTGGCTTTTTCTCTTTGCTTTTTATTACAGTGATTATTATTATTATTATTCGTCATAATTTATGCCCTTTATGCAAATATTCCCTCAATACTATCGAATTTTTCATTTATACGGATTTATTATTAGTGATATTATCTCTCTTCTTAATATATGCACCTGTTTCATTTCATTCACACATTGGTTATTTCACTATGATCCTCTCATTACAGTCTCACTGCTATCTCTTATTTAATACATACCACTTTGTACTAGCCACTCAGTCACCTGACACTTTCGATAACCTTGAACTAACTTGTCAATTTTCCTACCCCACACTCTACAAATCTATTATGATTAATCACCACCATTGTCTCCCGTTTTACAATATTTTCTAATCGATTTCAGCCAACTAGCACGTTTGTCACACAAATACAACTATTTATTTTGACACCCCATAACCGCTAATCTGTTATTCTACGTTAATAAATGTATCCGCCGACGCATAACTGGCCTTTATTGTAACGATCACAAATATTATATTTTATAATTTTAAGAACCTGAAGTAGAGAAATTATTGAAAAGAATATTCTTCGGTCAAAATTAATTTTAATAATATTTCTGTTTACGTTTTTTTGGGTTCTCCCAAGTTTTGTTGAAAGAATGGCTATTGAACAAAGAATATTCTTTGCGATAACCACTCCATCTTCATCAGGTTCTACAGTTATATGCATCCATAATAGTGGATGAATTAGTGTTATTAACAACAATAATGTCGTTCAAATAACATCGAATCAATAATAATAATAATATCAATGGATCACAATTCAATAGCATCAACATAACAATACACACTGAATATCAGGAAGAATAATAATACAAATTCACGAGTTTATAATCTCCACTGAAGGTCAGCCAGAGCAGAAGAAGTGGTTGGCTGGACTTGTTTCTTCTACACACAGAGCACCACCGGTTGTTTCAGACGAATCGCGATAGCCTCTGTTGTTTGAGGCATGCAGTAACTGGATGTTTCTAGTAATTTGTTTGGTACCCGATATGTGATGATGAAGGACGCTTCAATATTAGCTTGTGGCCATTTTGCACCAGGTGTTCTGATATCCAGCTGTTGATACTTCTCACTACACCTTTATTTAGCCACACCACACTAGTAAATGTTTCCGAGTGAGCACGAGAAATCAAGTTCCAAGAGCAACGGCCAATATAAATCGCTCCTCCATAAACTCATTCGAATTGGTAGATACAATTAGAATTGTCTAGTCTAGGTACTCCATGTTTTAATTGAGGAATCACCACCGTTCGTGTAGGAAATAAGACTTTTAATTTCCCAGCGTTAAACGTTCTTCCGAATCTTTGAATGAATTTTGAAAAAAAAGTACTCTAAGTGATAATGTTTTGTATTGAAAGAACTGTTCTATTTAATGGATACACCCTCAAGTTACTCGAAGCCTATATTCTATACAATACTCAAGGTTCCCATTTCAGTAGTTTGTTTTAAAATATCTGAATAATTACAGAAAAAAGAATTAAAAAGTTTTCAAATAATTTTATTGTTAATAAACCTATTTAGCTTACTAACATGAAAAGGGTATAACTCCAATAAAGTCAAATAACTTTCAGTCAGGAGTTAGCAAATGGTCTTCGTCTAATAGTCTTAAACTAAATCTTCCCAAATGTAAGACTGTTAATTTCAGTTTCCGATGTAAACGAAAGTTAAATGACCAAGCTGTTGGTTCTTATGACTGTTGCAAAATTGATGATACTGATATAAAAATCAAGTCTGAAGTTAATTAACTTGGATTAATTCTTTCTGCTGACTTATCCAGGTCTTCCAATGTCTAGGTGATTTCTAAAAAAATATTACATCTGGCTTTTTTAACATTAAGAAGTTAAGGCATTCAGGAATAATCCAACCCCTCCTCTTACAGTCTGTCGTCTCGGACATCTTACGTATTCTTCTTTACTGTTCACTCTTATTTTTTTCCTGGATTGCTTAAAAAAGACTATGTCATACTTCGTAGAACTCTGAAGACCATCAGTGGGGCGATGACAGGTAGCCCATTGGACCATCACGTTAACATCGTCATTGATAGGCGATTGATTTCATGCAACAAATCTGTTAGAAGAATTTTGTCAGACTGTGAGCATCCGCTTTACCCACAGCTCCCAACTTGTATCTCCTAAGGTAAAACAAGAAGTCATTTCAAAATACTTTATGCGTGCACATCTAAGTGTAAAAATTCCACGATACCATATTTGGCACGTACTTTATGTGATGATAATAGTGTTTGACATGAACTAACTAACCTTCTTTGCACTACTAAATAAACCTTTTTTCTCCATCATTACAACATCCAACTTTATTGTTATTGTACGTCTTATATTTACAATCCTCTTAATGTTTTGTTTTTATTTATTTTCTTCATAAGTGTGAACATAATTTAAGCTGTGTTATTAACTGTTAATTTTGTATTTCCCCTCACTTTACTATATCAGCAGAACATTAGATTCAATACTCTATGATAACATGCTAAAATTTCGAAACTGAATCGACAGTACTGTTTGGAACGAACTCACTGTTGTTATTATTATTATTACTGTTATTATTATTATATTTAATACTCTCAATTTGTGCTTCGAATATTTTTGACTTTATATCGTAAACGTGGACAAATTCCTCTGGTTACTTTTGTTTTAATTTTTAATTTTATTTATATTTTGAGTAAATCAGATGTAATATTGTGTGTGACAAATGCTGAGAATTCCATTCGGTATTATAAGTACCGATTTTGGAATAAAGTAGATTATTATTATTATTATTATTATGAATATTTATAGACCTTTATGTTATTCAAACTTTCCATTTTTTTAATAGTTGGAACACGAATGCCGGGTGGTATTCATCTACGTAGGACAGAAATTGCTGTATTTCAGAGTTTACTTGATTGGAATAAAGTGAGTTATAATTTTTCTTATCAGTATTATTGATTATTAAATTATATATATATATATATATATATTCAATGAGTCGATGATTCAGTAGTGAAATACTCGTCAACCACTCATATGATTTGAGGTTGATTGCGCTGCCGATACACTTGTTAATCTCATCTAGTTTACTGAGCGTTAGTAATCCTGGAAGAGAGAAAAGGTTAGTTGTAAGGCTAGCCGTCTAGCCCATGTTAAACCAATACCACCATGAACAGAAGAAGTCTAAAAGAGGTTGCCTCACTCATTTATCTCACCCAGATAGCATCTTCTCAACTACAGGTGGCATTGATGTGGATGTCAAAGCTAGTCAGGGTTGGAAAGGCAAAACATACCTTCAATAATCTGAAATCAATGTAGAAATTAGCTGCACTCAGACAACCGACTGGAAAGGCTAAACAATGGGGGATTCTGTTAACAAACCAAACAAGAACCTACTATCTAGCAAGATGGAGTGGACACAAGTTGAGTAGACACACTGTGTGAGACCACATGGCAGGTTCTTGAGCGTCGCAGGTTGACACGGAGTAGATCGCATGAGGAGGAGGAGGAAGAGACAACAGCTTATGGTCAATCGGGGAGTCAGAACTGCAGTGAGAACTACAGAAAGTAGAGTGAAATGACGCTATGATACTGGAGCCCTTATGTTCTCTTCAGTGTACTCAAATGATGAATAATGCTCATATATACGATGTACTTTAGGAAACCTGAATTTCAGTCACAGGAAAATTATATATTTCAAACGCATATTATTAGACACGGTGAATTTTCAGTAATTGGTGGGATTATCCGGGATAAAATTACATTGGTAGGATATTAGTGGTCGAAAGAGTAATGACTGAAAGTGAACTGAAATCTGAGGTCTCGAAAAGACTGAAATACCTGGTTCTGTAATTTAACATCTGAGTTAATTATCTCTCACTCCCGTGACAGCTGGACATGGACTGATGATTACAGACAACATGTAATACCTCGTCTGAATTCGATATCCTTTCTAGTAATATTTATCTGGGAAGAATATTTATATATATATATATATATATATGCATGCTCAGTAGATTTTAGTTATAATTCCTAAGCTTAGTGCATATATTATCAAAAATGACTTAAGATATTGCCTGTAATCTGAAATTAATACCTTGATTTAAATAAAGTATATCTAACAGAATTAGTTCCCTTTATGAAATTAGACAAAGCAATAAGAAGACGAAGTTTGTCTGAATCGTGTAATGTATTATTTGCACAACACATTTCGAACACGGACTTTTCATAAGAATATATACGAAATTAATAAAGACTTAAGGGTTTAGAAAACAGAATTAGGTCAAGTTAAAAGAAAGGCCAAAATTATATTGAAGATCACTAAACCTGCGGTGAGAGGTGGCCGTGGGAAAATATGTACAAGGCTGATTCAACAACCAATCACAGCAGACTTAACGTGGCAAAATATGATTCGCAGATAGAGAACTCTATTTTTCGAGGAATCCCAAAACAACCAATCAGAAGCCTGCGTTTGTCTGCTTAACTTCTGATAAACAACCAATCAGAAGACTGTGCTCGTCTACTTGCACAAATAAATAATAATAATTTTTCCTTCACGTTCTCAGTGGAACATAGGGCTCCAAGCTAGTGGCTTGAAGTTTCTGTAGCAGTGTTTAATTTTTACAGGATGGGGTTGCTAGCCTCATGCCCAACCTTTCCTCTTTACCAGGATTATTTCTGGCTCAGTGAGGTAAAGGAGTGCGCCTGCCGGGGATCGGACCCCGGACCATATGCAAGGTCGGCGAGCGTCCTAACCGCTATACCACCGACGCACCCTTGCATACTTGCATAAGCTATAATAATGTATGTGAAATATATATAAATACGTGTTGATTTTCGTAATAAAACGATCTGTTGCCTGGCCATTGTCTTCTGTTGTTACAAACCAAATTAGAGAGGCAATAGTACATAAAATTAAGCAAAGCAATTTTAGTGTGCTGATGAATTGATTTCGAAAGCATAAAGGTGGTTTGAACTTCCTAATTACTAGCTAGGGCATCCACAAACTTTAAGAAACGCCCCAAACACCTCCTACAGATAGGTTTATAAGACGTGTAAAAATCAATTTTATGCCTTGTCTCTATAAAAGTTTTTGCGATAGAGGAGCTAGGTCTCCTGTTTCCAGCATTAATAGGTTCTGGGGATTCTTTTTGCATCTGAAGCCATTTAGAAATATGCTCTAAAGCCACCCCTTACTTGCAGATATCAATTAGTTCTCTCTTTATATGTATGGCTCCACGTACATTCAAAATGGTAAATAAAGTGCGATGTGACATGTTCTAAGGGCTTAGATGGATATATCGGCTCGACATTCTCAATTATTAGGATCTTAGCTGCATAAGAAGTCTTTTTAACCAGAGCGTTCAACTGTTGTCGAGTTACCAAGCTGTTATGATTATCCATATAGGATAGCTTGATGTACACGTCTTTCTTATTGGCGAGTTGAAGAGCAGATCTTGGTGTACTGACTACTTTATATCTCGTAATGAACTTGTTTAGATATTATCAGTCAGTTTCTGATGAAGATGAGAGAAATTTGACACAAACTCAGTATGTATTAGTTAACAATGTGACATCAATGTCTAATACAAAACTCTAACACAATCAAAACGTCCTAGACTAGATGGTGTGAATTCGTAAACATTTGACACCCTTTTGAGTACAAAAACTCTAGAAGTGTCAATTAGGCTTCAGTTCTTAGATTTTCATCACGAACTAACATTGGTTAGAGAGATCATTGAAAACCACCAGGAATCGTCAGATGCTTCTATTTTCCTTCTATTTTGGGACTTCTCATCAGTGTGAGTACACGACCATGCTAGAGAGATAAAACGTGAAACCTTCAGGCTGCGAAAAACCAATCACATTCACCATTCAACTATTTGTATCGGAATTCAATGATCCATGAATTCTAATTTTGTCACAAATAATTTCAGTGATTATTCAATTCACATTGATATGACGGACCACACTTCCCACGAATGCTTAGTACGGCTTCAAGAAAATCCATCCAGTAGCCAACAGCATGCTGGCGATTAGTATCCAGATTGTAGGACATGTGGGGATTTGGGATTAATTAGATTTGCCTACTATACTATAATATTCATCAAGATTTTTATTTTGATCCTCACATATTCTTACTAGTGGGCTGTTTTTATGGAACTAATATTCTCTAAACACTTAAAATTTGGAATTTAAGCGTAAATTGACAGAACACTGTATTATTATTATTATTATTATTTAAAACTACTCCTTTGGGTTCCGAGTGGAATAAAGAGCTTCAACAACACATCTCCACCTTGTTCCATTTATCGCTGTCCTCTTCAGCTGGCTGGGTCTACGACTGTCCATAATCTCCTATCTCCTCCTCTCCAACACACTATATCCTCCATGTCACCCTCTCACTGACGTCCCACTTGTCGCTTTCCATTAGGATTTCACTCGAGCGTTGGCCTACACATTGCACGAGATTGAATTTGATTGGCTCCTCAAAGTCTGTCGATACATCTCCATTTTCTCCTACATATTTGCTCAGTAATCGGCTCTCACCTGTTGGTTTTTCTCCCAACCAGAGTTTCTTGTCACTAATTCTTCCTGACCGGTTGGCCAGCCAGCCAGCGAAGGCAGGCAGTTGTTGATAAAAGTCTGTAATTGGCTGCAGGAAATCCTTTTCTTGACACACAGTGCAAGTTTCTGACCCGTATAGAAGAATTGACTGACCGACTTCACATTTATGTTGGATGGAAAACCGAATCTTATTCTTTATGCTGACTGGGGGGGGTGAAGCAGAAGATTACCAAACTGGTTTCAGGTTGATGAAGGCGTGGCTTGCCTTTCTGAGTCTAGCTAGCTTTGACATCTTCATCCATTCCCCCTGTGTTTGAAATAATGTTTCCTAGATAACTGAAGGATGATACCACTTTCAAATCTCTCCTGTTGATGAAGATTGGTGCTGGTTGTTATTGCCGTGTGCTATCTGATGTATGCAAGCAAATACAATTGATTTCGCGATAGTTTTTGGTGAATAAGTTAGTATGCGAATCAACTGATTCTGTTCTCTAAGCCTGGACAAGCGAAATGGCCGTCAGATGTTTAGATCACTTTGATCAGACTGGCTAGCAAGCAATACTGATTGATACGAGTGGTATCCATCTACTCAAATAAATCAATCAGCTAGTAGTATATAGAATCACTGAAGACCAAGGACTACTGGACAGGTGTTTTACTTTCATATGAGATTCTTCAACTGTATGCACTTATAATTCTCTAAGTGATATTACATTCATGAATAAATCCACACTGTTGTAAATCACATATCAGTAAACTGAACATTTCAGTTACATTGGAAATTTAGAATGTAAGAATCACTCGTTATGCAAAAAAAACTAGAATATAATATAACTTTAGTTATTTTGCATTAATTAGTAAATGCAGAGTATTTTAACCCTATACACATTTTTAAAAAAACCTTAAAAGACATCAAATTTCCTAAATAAAAGGTCAAATAACTAATTATATAGCTAAGCTTACTAATTCAGATCAATGTACAATCCCAGGATTGTTTAAAAGTGTACGCAAAAGAAATATTTTGTTATGACTGAAAACTGACAGAAATATCCCTATATACGTTACATTATGCTTCACTAGAAACCATTGAATACTGAATATTTTCCGGGAAATTTAAATGTTGGTGTCATTCATTATGTGAAAAGATTTTAGGCATAAAAATATTTCAGAGATAGATTTTAGACAGAAAGAAAGAAAGTATAACAATGTTTAATGTTCCATTATATCTACCCCACCGCTAAAATTCACTGGAATGTTGACTAGTATTGTTTCACAAATGAAAGTTTGTCAACAAAATAATGAAATTGGCATAAATTATAATATTTAAAAGAATTATAACAGTTAGAACTAAGATTAGATTAAATTCCTAGGGAGGGGAAACCTATAAGTAAAACCTAGATTCAAGTTTTTATTTTCACTTTATCTATCCCTTTTATTATTCCCAGTGGAACATAGAGCTTCAAAAGAACATCTCTATTTAAGTGTTGGTTTGTAGGGATTTGATTAGTTACAGGATTTCATCATGAGCTCACATCAGTTAGAGAACCATTGGAAAACCACCTGGGAGTACTGGACAGCTGTCTCCTCCGTCCTAGTTTGGAACTATTCAGCAGTACGCACTCACCGGGGTTCGAACCCAGGACCTTCTGGTTACAAGAGGAGCCCGGTCGTATACCATTAAGCCACTAGGAACCGAATCAACAGCCCATGAATTCTAACTTCTGCCAATTCATGACATAGCGCGACCCTAGCCAGTGTCTTCGGAAAGTATTTTTCCTCACACCCGACCTGCTGCACCCTACTGGTCATGACTTCTCACTAAAACCCCGGGTAACTAGCTACCTGAATAGGGCAAGTCGCTAGTTAGCATCTCATCCTGTTATCTGCAGTCCTCTCCAGGTTGCCCAACGATTACTCATCAACTTCCATTTTTTTAACTCTTAGGCCAAGCTCAGTTCGTTGTTTCCCATCCGACCATCTTTCACTCGAGGGTCTGCCTGACATGTGGTGTCACCCAACAGTCGCCTCAGTGTATATCCGATCCGTCTGCTTTTGCCTTCGGAATAGTCTTTCAGCAATGGCTTATGGACTGTTTTTCATTCCCAAAGTTGCTTGTTAATAATTCTTTCTGACCAGCCATCTATTCTTCACTATGGAGCCAGAGAAAGAAACGGTTGATAAAAGTCTAAAGTTACCTGTTAAAAATGCTTTCCGTGAACCTCACGCCAAGAATCTGAGGCATGAAGAAGAAATGACTGAATTAATATTGCTGTTGAAATGTTGAATTTTACGCTTCGTCCTGGATGCCATTCTTTTTTCTTAAACTACTAATTCCTTCGAAGTTAATTGGTGGATGGTGGCTAGCAGTGGAATCCAGGATGATGCGCATTTCGTCCCATTTTGGACTCGTCATCTGGATGTGCCTGCATTTCCCAGTGAGTGATGACGTTCCCACCACCGAACCTCGATGGTAGTGCCCATAGTTTCAAACGCTAAAGCGTTATCCACTATATGACATATTACATGCCCAGATATCGTCGAAGCATCTGCACAAGAAGCCAACAGACATGTCAACCTGACAACAAGCACTTCGGTCCAATCAATCGATGGGAAAACCTAAAAGTGAATTAAATAATTAATACGGCCCGTTGCACAAGAGGTGACCGTCGTCGCCCAAATGGTCTATTGGATAACGCTTTGGCATTTGAAACTATGGGTACTGGGTTCGAGGCTCGGTGAGAACATCATCACCCACTGACTGGCGAATGCAAGTACATCCAGACGAGTCACAAATAGGACGAAATGAGCGTTATCCTGGATTCCACTGCTAGTCACCATCGACCAAATTAAATTTTAATTAAATGCCCAGACATCATCGAAGAATCTGCACAAGAAGCCGATAGATATGTCAACCTGAGACCGAGCACTTCAGTCCAATCAATCGACAAGAAAATCTAAAATTGAATTTTAAAAAATACTAATCCCCTCATTTTCATTTTATTTCTTTTGACTTATAGGCACATATGAGAACTATCAAGCAATATGAACAAGAAAATATTATCCCTGTTGATTTAACACAGAAATTGAATGATCTTCAAGAGCAAAGTTTTCATATGATGGAGACAGTTTCACTTGTCAAGTAAGCAACTGTTTTCATAGGATTTGCATGATTTATTCAATGAGATAGCTCTTCCTCTCTCTCTCTCTCTCTCTAGTCAATTGAGTTGATGATGATCTCAACTGAATTATGCAAAAAAAAACCGAACTAATTTCAAAGTTAAGATCCTTAATAGGCTCTGTCTGCGGTAAAAGACGCACAGGGGAAAAGGCTAATGGTCACGCTAAATTCACGGATAGGTAGAAGTTAGAATTCATCGACCATTCAATTGGGTCTCAGTAGCTGGATGATCCACAAGCTTGTCTTGTAACCGGAAGATACTGAGTTCGAACCTTAGAGGTGGGTGGGTACTGTCTATGAAACAGCTGTCCAATACCTCCCGCCAAATTTCAGTAGTTATCTAATCGATAACAATTCGTGGCTGAACTTGAAACAAAGAGGAGAAGTTTGATAGATATGTCATCTTTCACGTTGACTCAGGCGAACTAGGGAGTTAAAGGTACGTCAGTTTACTTATTTAAAAATTTCCTTAACCTCAGCTATCTGTATAAGATGAACTCTACTTTTAAGAGAAATACTGACTAATTATGCATAAATAAATGTGAGGGAATCGATCATGTTTACTGCTGTCAGATTACTTCCTACAGAATGGAGTGAGATTCATCGGTTGACTGATCTGTAAACTGACCACAAATTCAGCTACTGAGCATGTATATATATACGTATACCGTTGAGGATTACTTTGTAGGGATTCTATTAGTTTCAGGTAAGACCATGGATTGATATCACTTATAGAACCACTGAAAACCACCACTAAAGTACTGGAAAGCTGTCTCATCCTAGTGTGGGACTCATCACCAGTATTCATCCACCTCCAGAGGTCTAACTCAGGACCTTCCAGTTACAAAGCGAGCTAGTTCGCAGACCATTCAACAACTGGAACCCGACTCAATGGCCTGTCCATGAATTCTAACTTCTACCAATTCGTGATCTGTTTTATTACTGAAATGACTGAGAACCGCAATCACTTTGTTATGTCTGAGCCTGATTCCGATTCCCTGAGCCACGCAAATATCAAAAGACAAAGACTGGCCTGTGACTGTAAGATGCTGTATTCGTACTGTATATTGTAGTGACAAATTATTAGGAAAACAGCACATGGTAGTTATACATTTTTACAACAATAAAGACGGCTAACAGCGTTCGAAATAATTGATTGCATAATTAATCACAATATGCGCGAGAAATGATGATATACTATTTTATGCGGTATCCTATCAACCAACCACTTTCATCGGTGGGAACTTCATCCCCACTCCTGACTGGATGAACTACACTGGTCACGACTTCTCCAGGCAACTTCGTTTTGTAGCCATTCACAAGCGTCGCAAGTGTAGTCCATCCAGTCAGGAGTGGGGATGAAGTTCCCACCGATGAAAGTGGTTGGTTGATAGGATACCGCATAAAATAGTATATCATCATTTCTCGCGCATATTGTGATTAATTATGCAATCAATTATTTCGAACGCTGTTAGCCGTCTTTATTGTTGTAAAAATGTATAAATATCATGTCCTGTCCAGTACTCCCAGGTTTTCCAGTGGTTCTCTAACTGATGTCAGCTCATGATTAAATCCTCCATACAATCAAACCAAATCCCTACAAAACCAACACTTAAATATCATGTATTGTTTTCCTAATAATTTGTTATTACAATATACAGTACGAATACAGCATTTTACAGTCACAGGCCAGCCTTTGGCTTTTGATATTTGTGTGGCGCAATGAATTGGAAGCAGGCGCAGATACAACAACGTGACTACGGTAGTCGCACAGAAATAGATGACGAATTGGTAGGAGTTAGAATCCATGCGCAGGCCACTGAGTCAGGTCCCAGTTATTGAATGGTCTGCGAACTAGCTCGTCTTGTAACCGGAAGGTCCTGAGTTAGACGCCTGCAGGAGGATGAGTACTGATGATGAGTCCCACACCAGGATGAGACAGCTTTCCAGTACTTTAGTGGTGGTTTTCAATGTATCTCTAAGTGATATCAATCCGTGGTCTAACCCCATGTATGAATTTCTTCCTTATTTTTATTCCCTTTGGTTCCAAGTGGAATGTAGGGGGCTTCAGTCATCTTTAGCCGACTTTACAAATCGCCTGCACATCTGAATATCATCTACCTTTTTCTTTACAGAAGTAGTTAAATCTTAAATAGTTCACATTTATTTCACACTAAACAATATTCATGTCCGTCATGTAATTAAGTAGCATATTTATTTATTATAAGCACATATTTGTTTTGCCTTTCCTTCCATTAAATTCTAGTGATTTAGCGCTAAAGGATAAAAAAAAGTTGGATAGTTTACTGAATCAATTAAGAATATGGAATAAACAGACAAAAGATAAAAATCAATTTAATCTTTATCCATTATCTTCAAGTTCTGATGATGAATGGTTGTCTAGTTCCGGTTCAGAGTATATCAATTCTGAAAGTACCTATGAATCTGTCGATGAAATTGAAACCTCCTATCTCCTACAACAACAACAAAAATCAAAGCATGGAACAACAAAACCACATTTTACAAGTAGTTTACATTTTCCGCATAAAACATTTATCCTCCCGTCAATATTTACCTATGATGAAGATCTAGCATCAAGTTGTACAACCAGCGAAGAGATACAAAGTATTGATGGTACTACTACACCCACCACTGTCAGTAGTAGTTCGTGTACAACAGACGATGAAATTGAAGACTATCAAAAATATCATACAACAAAACAAGATTTTTATCGCATACCATCATCTGAAGATATTTTAGATGAAAGTAAAAATTATGTAACCACATTAAATAAACAAATTTTGTTGACTCTTGAACCACCGGTTGCAGGAGGTGGCAAATATAAACCAATGATATATAAAAGTAGAAAATATATTGATACTAAAGACGGTGGAGGGTATTCAGTTGTCTACATTGAAGTTGCACCCACTGAAGAGACTACTACAGTACTTGATCAAACTGATGAAAATTTTACAGCGTCTAAAGTATCAAAATCAATACAAGTAGATGATTTGTCAAAGAGAACAAGATTCACACGTAGAACATGGATAGAAAAACAGCATGTTGAGGAGGCAAAAAGTTTAACAAAAATTGAAGAATCTGCAAGAATTATACATACAAAACCTGGTAAAAGTGAAACTAAAGATGGAAGTGTACAAGTATCGCCTATTATTCACAACATTGAATGTAGTACAGAAGATTATCTCCTGTCAAGATATGCCTTATCAATAACAACGACAAAACAAACTATAGAAAAAGATAATAAGTCAATACAAACGATAGAACACTCTGACGATTTCATCTATGCAGTTCAACAGTTTGCTCATGTGAAAGAAATAACTGAGGAGGAATTTAACCGGATTATTCAACAGGAGGCACTGAAGCTGAAAAGTAAAAATAAAGAAAATCAATCATCACAGACCGATGATATCATATACAAAGAAATAAAATATGAGCAGACAGTTAAGGAAACAAGCGATTCAGCGACCAAGTTAACAGGTGATTTTGCGTCTCAATCCAAGATAACCCCTAAGCTAACCGATAGACATGAATATTATGTAAAGCAAGGTAACGCAAAATCAACCATGACAGATATGGATACAATGGATGACAAGGTACATGCGGTGAAAGAACCACCAGTAAGAAAACAAGAAACAACAGCTGTAATACAAGACACGGGAGCAAAACACAAACAACCAAAAAAAGAATGTATAACTGAATACAAGCAATCAGCAAATATACATTACATCGAAGATGAAGGAATGCATTTAACAGAAATATTTCAGGAACAAAGCGATAAATCAAGCGAAAAAAAGAGTACAAAAGAAAAAGGTATGCAGCAAGGGATCAAAATAGCTACACGTGTCATGAGCTCCAGCTACCAAGTGAAACAGACCACCAGCCACACCTTGACCGAAGCAGTCGGAGTAGCAGAGCAAGCCGTCCAAGTCACTCAACCCGAACGACCTGTCGTCGTCGGCTTTGAGCAGAAGGAGGTCAAGACTGTGAAGCCTGAACACATGATGTCAGTCAGCGCCTCATACGCAGAATCGCCCGTCAAACAGCCAACACCACGTCACACGACTGAGATCGCCACACAGACGACCAGTGTCACTGCACACGTCGTCGAGTCCAGTGAACACGTGATTGTTCAGAAGCCAAGCGTCCACGTCAAAGCCCCTCTCGTCACCGAGACCGTGGCATCAGAATCACCCAAACCTCAGGTTGTTCAACCAGCACCACTAGTCGAAGCCACACAATTCGTCAAACACACCACTGTCGACAAGCAAATCGACACAGTGCCGAAAGCCTCATCCGATGTCGGTGGACAGACCGACCCACACAAATCTCTGCTCGACAGTGAATGTCACTTGTCGTTGAAACGCACCGACGCCACGTTGCAGGCGAAACCTGCCCGATTGTGTATGGTGGATTCTCAGAGTGAGTTGCATGCACCAGTGAAAGTCGAGCCGCCAGTTGTTCCAGTTCAAGAACCAGTGAAACGCACTCAAACATTGGAAGCCAGTATGCAGACGATGACGGAAGTGGCGTGTGTTGTGGACAGCGCGACCGGTGTGTCAATGAAGACGCCGGAAGGTATGCTGGATTCAGTCGCATCATTTGTGAAGAGACCCAGTGTGAATGCTGAAGTGCAAGTGGGCAGAGTGAGCACACCTGTCGTCAGTCTCACCACGCACAAGTTAGAATCGAGACCGGCAGAGCCGAGTCTGTGTACCAGTTGTGGACATCTGTATGTGAAGACCGAACAGACGGCTTGTCAGACCGTTCAACCTCCGGCCGCGCCGGCTCCTGTTCCAATCAAGACATCGTGTGTCGCCCTTCAGACCACCAAGTTCTCCAGTCTCTGTCAGACGACCAGTCAACTCATGACACAAGTCACCCCACCACCATACGTCGAGTCAGCACTATCGGCCGCCACCAAGGTCGACAAGGCAGTCACACGCGATGTGGGAATGCAGTTCGGAATGCGTGTTGCCACCCGTGTCATGAACTCCAGCTACCAAGTGAAGCAGACCACCAGCCACACCTTGACCGAAGCAGTCGGAGTAGCAGAGCAAGCCGTCCAAGTCACTCAACCCGAACGACCTGTCGTCGTCGGCTTTGAGCAGAAGGAGGTCAAGACTGTGAAGCCTGAACACATGATGTCAGTCAGCGCCTCATACGCAGAATCGCCCGTCAAACAGCCAACACCACGTCACACGACTGAGATCGCCACACAGACGACCAGTGTCACTGCACACGTCGTCGAGTCCAGTGAACACGTGATTGTTCAGAAGCCAAGCGTCCACGTCAAAGCCCCTCTCGTCACCGAGACCGTGGCATCAGAATCACCCAAACCTCAGGTTGTTCAACCAGCACCACTAGTCGAAGCCACACAATTCGTCAAACACACCACTGTCGACAAGCAAATCGACACAGTGCCGAAAGCCTCATCCGATGTCGGTGGACAGACCGACCCACACAAATCTCTGCTCGACAGTGAATGTCACTTGTCGTTGAAACGCACCGACGCCACGTTGCAGGCGAAACCTGCCCGATTGTGTATGGTGGATTCTCAGAGTGAGTTGCATGCACCAGTGAAAGTCGAGCCGCCAGTTGTTCCAGTTCAAGAACCAGTGAAACGCACTCAAACATTGGAAGCCAGTATGCAGACGATGAAGGAAGTGGCGTGTGTTGTGGACAGCGCGACCGGTGTGTCAATGAAGACGCCGGAAGGTATGCTGGATTCAGTCGCATCATTTGTGAAGAGACCCAGTGTGAATGCTGAAGTGCAAGTGGGCAGAGTGAGCACACCTGTCGTCAGTCTCACCACGCACAAGTTAGAATCGAGACCGGCAGAGCCGAGTCTGTGTACCAGTTGTGGACATCTGTATGTGAAGACCGAACAGACGGCTTGTCAGACCGTTCAACCTCCGGCCGCGCCGGCTCCTGTTCCAATCAAGACATCGTGTGTCGCCCTTCAGACCACCAAGTTCTCCAGTCTCTGTCAGACGACCAGTCAACTCATGACACAAGTCACCCCACCACCATACGTCGAGTCAGCACTATCGGCCGCCACCAAGGTCGACAAGGCAGTCACACGCGATGTGGGAATGCAGTTCGGAATGCGTGTTGCCACCCGTGTCATGAACTCCAGCTACCAAGTGAAGCAGACCACCAGCCACACCTTGACCGAAGCAGTCGGAGTAGCAGAGCAAGCCGTCCAAGTCACTCAACCCGAACGACCTGTCGTCGTCGGCTTTGAGCAGAAGGAGGTCAAGACTGTGAAGCCTGAACACATGATGTCAGTCAGCGCCTCATACGCAGAATCGCCCGTCAAACAGCCAACACCACGTCACACGACTGAGATCGCCACACAGACGACCAGTGTCACTGCACACGTCGTCGAGTCCAGTGAACACGTGATTGTTCAGAAGCCAAGCGTCCACGTCAAAGCCCCTCTCGTCACCGAGACCGTGGCATCAGAATCACCCAAACCTCAGGTTGTTCAACCAGCACCACTAGTCGAAGCCACACAATTCGTCAAACACACCACTGTCGACAAGCAAATCGACACAGTGCCGAAAGCCTCATCCGATGTCGGTGGACAGACCGACCCACACAAATCTCTGCTCGACAGTGAATGTCACTTGTCGTTGAAACGCACCGACGCCACGTTGCAGGCGAAACCTGCCCGATTGTGTATGGTGGATTCTCAGAGTGAGTTGCATGCACCAGTGAAAGTCGAGCCGCCAGTTGTTCCAGTTCAAGAACCAGTGAAACGCACTCAAACATTGGAAGCCAGTATGCAGACGATGACGGAAGTGGCGTGTGTTGTGGACAGCGCGACCGGTGTGTCAATGAAGACGCCGGAAGGTATGCTGGATTCAGTCGCATCATTTGTGAAGAGACCCAGTGTGAATGCTGAAGTGCAAGTGGGCAGAGTGAGCACACCTGTCGTCAGTCTCACCACGCACAAGTTAGAATCGAGACCGGCAGAGCCGAGTCTGTGTACCAGTTGTGGACATCTGTATGTGAAGACCGAACAGACGGCTTGTCAGACCGTTCAACCTCCGGCCGCGCCGGCTCCTGTTCCAATCAAGACATCGTGTGTCGCCCTTCAGACCACCAAGTTCTCCAGTCTCTGTCAGACGACCAGTCAACTCATGACACAAGTCACCCCACCACCATACGTCGAGTCAGCACTATCGGCCGCCACCAAGGTCGACAAGGCAGTCACACGCGATGTGGGAATGCAGTTCGGAATGCGTGTTGCCACCCGTGTCATGAACTCCAGCTACCAAGTGAAACAGACCACCAGCCACACCTTGACCGAAGCAGTCGGAGTAGCAGAGCAAGCCGTCCAAGTCACTCAACCCGAACGACCTGTCGTCGTCGGCTTTGAGCAGAAGGAGGTCAAGACTGTGAAGCCTGAACACATGATGTCAGTCAGCGCCTCATACGCAGAATCGCCCGTCAAACAGCCAACACCACGTCACACGACTGAGATCGCCACACAGACGACCAGTGTCACTGCACACGTCGTCGAGTCCAGTGAACACGTGATTGTTCAGAAGCCAAGCGTCCACGTCAAAGCCCCTCTCGTCACCGAGACCGTGGCATCAGAATCACCCAAACCTCAGGTTGTTCAACCAGCACCACTAGTCGAAGCCACACAATTCGTCAAACACACCACTGTCGACAAGCAAATCGACACAGTGCCGAAAGCCTCATCCGATGTCGGTGGACAGACCGACCCACACAAATCTCTGCTCGACAGTGAATGTCACTTGTCGTTGAAACGCACCGACGCCACGTTGCAGGCGAAACCTGCCCGATTGTGTATGGTGGATTCTCAGAGTGAGTTGCATGCACCAGTGAAAGTCGAGCCGCCAGTTGTTCCAGTTCAAGAACCAGTGAAACGCACTCAAACATTGGAAGCCAGTATGCAGACGATGACGGAAGTGGCGTGTGTTGTGGACAGCGCGACCGGTGTGTCAATGAAGACGCCGGAAGGTATGCTGGATTCAGTCGCATCATTTGTGAAGAGACCCAGTGTGAATGCTGAAGTGCAAGTGGGCAGAGTGAGCACACCTGTCGTCAGTCTCACCACGCACAAGTTAGAATCGAGACCGGCAGAGCCGAGTCTGTGTACCAGTTGTGGACATCTGTATGTGAAGACCGAACAGACGGCTTGTCAGACCGTTCAACCTCCGGCCGCGCCGGCTCCTGTTCCAATCAAGACATCGTGTGTCGCCCTTCAGACCACCAAGTTCTCCAGTCTCTGTCAGACGACCAGTCAACTCATGACACAAGTCACCCCACCACCATACGTCGAGTCAGCACTATCGGCCGCCACCAAGGTCGACAAGGCAGTCACACGCGATGTGGGAATGCAGTTCGGAATGCGTGTTGCCACCCGTGTCATGAACTCCAGCTACCAAGTGAAGCAGACCACCAGCCACACCTTGACCGAAGCAGTCGGAGTAGCAGAGCAAGCCGTCCAAGTCACTCAACCCGAACGACCTGTCGTCGTCGGCTTTGAGCAGAAGGAGGTCAAGACTGTGAAGCCTGAACACATGATGTCAGTCAGCGCCTCATACGCAGAATCGCCCGTCAAACAGCCAACACCACGTCACACGACTGAGATCGCCACACAGACGACCAGTGTCACTGCACACGTCGTCGAGTCCAGTGAACACGTGATTGTTCAGAAGCCAAGCGTCCACGTCAAAGCCCCTCTCGTCACCGAGACCGTGGCATCAGAATCACCCAAACCTCAGGTTGTTCAACCAGCACCACTAGTCGAAGCCACACAATTCGTCAAACAC